TCTTTTCCCAATTTATCACAATAAATCCCAAAAGAGGCCAGATCCCGAAAAAGGTGAACCAAAATAAACCCCAATCCATTCAATGTAATAAAGCTCTAAGCCAAGATAAACTAGGTCATGATGAAACAATGACTCTTCTAAGATTATTCAGTATGAAGGAACTGAATTTTTTTTCCCAGATTAGTAACCCTACAGTCTCACATCCCGGCAGAGCCCCGGTAGACGTCCGGGTTGATCCGGGAACATCCCGGATGGAATAAAATATTTAATATCACCGGGGTGGTCCGGGATGATCCGGGAAGGTATAGCTTTGCCGGCTTCATCCTTAGCTCTGCCGGGAACGACCGGGGTTATACCGGGGAAGCAGTCTGCGAAAAATATGTTATAGCCGTAGAGCCGTTCGGAGACGGTGTATCAAGTAACCTACTAGGCCGGCGCCGATCATTCAGTCGACAATTGAAGATGCACGTTTCCTTATTTCATATCAGGGCATAGGTTTCAGTTCTGATACATTCTGGACTGTATTATGTTCATTGGGTTTCATCACGGGGCTCTGCCTGGATCGTCTGGGCTCTGCCTTGATCGACCGGGCTCTGGTACCGGGGTCTCGGGCATCGGAAAGTCCCGGGAAGCACTGGCATGAACCGTAGCTTCACCTGGGCTCTGCCTGGATGATCCGGAGCATTAAAACAATATCTTCTTTCTTTCAGTAGCTTCTAAAGAAGATACAAAGGTCATTACAAATATTATGATATCTAGGAGGAAGACCGCTTCTGTTTTCCATGCATAAATTTAGATAATGATGCTCTATGCGTAACCACCAGTTTTAACCAAACTTAAAAGGAAGAGATGTCTAAGAAATGGTCACACAAATATTCAGTCGTAAATTGTATCATTTGTAAATAATTTTGAAACCCAACTTTTTCTTATATTAAATTTGCCTTTGGATCATGGAATATGTATACATCATAAATCTTTTAATGTCATTGGCTTTTGTGGAACCTTTCCATTTTGTCAGCAAAATTTCTTAATTTATATAATTATATAGATATAGTGTTTAATATTAAGTCGTTTTTTGTCTTTTTAATAGGTTTGTATGAATCCTTTAAACAATGACAGTCGGGAGAGAGCAATTCAAATGATTTCCCTTAGCGTCAGGTGTGCTTTTAAATGTCATTGCAGGGATAGATGTCTGCTATTGGTCTTCTGCTTTTTTTATAACCAGGAAAAAATAAAAAACGCTCCAAAAACTGATTCTTTTCTGTAGGCCATACATGTGTCAGTCCAGAGATTAGCTAGAATATGTAGACGGCCAAAATGTAATTCTCAGATGCCAAAAGTGGCTGAAAAATCAAGAATACCATGAAGCTGGCAACAGGCAGATCCATGTGAGATTTTGTATTGCTACACCATGCCTAGACATGTGCTTCTCACTAGTTTCTACTCAGCTTTACTGGAAATCAATGGAACAGGTAGCTAAATTGTTAGCATCATGCCAGACAGTGAATATTAAATCATCATGGAAGCTGTATAAAATTAAAACTTCTTCAAAGGATGTCATTCTGTTTTGAACATATTGTAGTTCATCATGAAATGCAAAACAAAAACAACAGAATATATATATTTTGCCAATACTTAAGTTAATTAAACAATTTTTTCAGAAGTGTCAACTTCTGGAAATAATAAATTATTTACCTGATGTACATCTTTAAAATCTACGCAATAAATCATACTGAAGTTATTATCACAATTAATTAAACACAGGACAACAAATAATCAACCTTATCTGGCCATTGTAGATCGGTTGTAATGGAATCATTGACAATGAAACAAAGTAAGGTGTTGGTGTTATGCAGATTAAATAATTTAACAAGCAAATTTGTTGAATTTATATCCCCCGCCGAGTACTGGTTATTATTAACTCAACAACTGAAGACATAAGGCTTTATTTATATATTAATCATGGCATAAACAGTAATATTCTTTGAACTTGGTAAATATTCAGGGCAATAACAGAGACATAACTTTGTGTTAAATAGTAAAATCTGGAAATGCCAATGAGATGTATGCATACTACATAACTAATCAAGGGCCATAAATCTGAGTTATAATTATCTGACTGGAACAAGGAGACTATATGCACATTTCCTCTTAGTATCCCATAAAGTTTCATTGAATTCCAGCCAGTAGTAGCAGAGAAGTAGCGAGGAAACAAATATTTTTCTATATGGATACTGCATAACTAATCAAGGGCCATAACTCTGAGTTAAAGTGTCTGACCGGAACAAGCCGACAATATGCGCATCTCCTCTTGGTATTGAAGGTTCCCATAAAGTTTCGTTGAATTCCAGCCAGTAGTTGCAGAGAAGTAGCGCGGAAACGATTTTTACTCCATATACATACTGCATAACTAACCAAGGGCCATAACTCTGAGTTAAAGTGTCTGACCGGAACAAGCCGCATTATGCGCATCTCCTCTTGGTATTGAAGGTTCCCATAAAGTTTCGTTGAATTCCAGCCAGTAGTTGCAGAGAACTACCCCGGAAACGATTTTTACTCTATATGCATATTGCATAACTAATCAAGGGCCATAACTCGAGTTAAAGTGTCTGACCGGAACAAGCCGACGATATGCGCATCTCCTCTTGATATTGATGATTCCCATAAAGTTTCGTTGAATTCCAGCCTGTAGTTGCAGAGAACTACTCCGGAAACGATTTTTACTCTACATGCATACTACATAAGTAATCAAGGGCCTTAACTCTGAGTTAAAGGGTCGGACCGGAACAAGCGGACGATATGCGCATCTCCTCTTGATATTGATGATTCCCATAGTTTCGTTGAATTCCAGCCAGTAGTTGCAGAGAACTACTCCGGAAACGAAATTCGGACGGACGGATGGACAACGCCAAAACTATATCCCCCTCCCGATTCCATCGGCGGGGGATAATAAAGGACATTCTTATAGATAAATGTTAAGAAGGGGGATCCCTTTAACTTGATTGTAATGAAGTGGTATTAAGTCAAAGGACCTAACAGATGATTGTTTTGGTTTGTTTTTTCTTCTGTTGGATTTTATGTCAGCAACATTCCAGCTTAACTGCTGAACAAAGACCTCTGAGGTTCCACTCCATGCATTATTTTGGGCATGAAATAACCACAAACATTCTGTAAGATAGCTGGATAGCTTCCTCTCCAAATGAAAGGGGTTTAAATCAAGACAATTGTAATGAAGGGGGATTAAATCAAGGGACAACACCACAGATGATTATAATGAAGGGGAATTAAATTAAGGGACAACGTGTTCACGATTATAATAAAGGAGAATTAAATCGAGGGATTATTATGGAGGATTTAATCAACGGACAACCCTACAGATGGGGGATTAAATCAAGGGGCAACCCCACAGATAATTATAGTGAAGGGGGATTAAATCAAGGAACAATCTCATAGAGGATTGTAATGGAAAGGGATTAAATCAAGGGACAACCCTTACATCAAGGGACAACCCTACAGATGATAACAATGAAGGGAGATTAAATAAAGTGGCAACCCCACAGATATCAATCATAATGAAGGGGGGTTAAATCAAGGAACAATCTCATAGAGGATATTAATAAAGAGGGATTAAATCAAGGAACAAACCAAAGATCAAGAAACAAGCCCACAGATGATTATAAAGAAGGGGATAAAATCAATATCAAGAGACAACCCCACAGATGATAACAATGAAGGGGGTTAAATCAAGAAACAATCTCATAGGGGATTGTAATGAAGGGGGATTAAATCAAGGGACAACTTCATTGATAGTTTGTTACCAATGGGATTAAATCAAGGGTCAATCTCAGTTTATTGTAAAACAGATGACCATTAGCCATTATGAGGGTTAAATCAAGGGACATCCACACAGATGGCTGTTTATACTAGCTAAAATACTTATGAGAAATCAGAGTTATTTGGGGGGGGGGTGTCCTTTTTTACTGGTGGATGATGACTTAAGGTGCCAGTCAATTAATGTATTATTTCTGGTGGTACTGGGCACACAAGAAGATTCATCAACCTTCAGTCAGCTCACTGGATAGCTTACTCACATCAAACATTTCAAAGTTCTTGACAGGATTTGAACTCAAAGCAGTAAGCAGGGGCAATAGGTGATAAGACCTTAACAACATGACCAGAGCCTCCTAAAAAATAACACCCTAATGTTCTTAACCAAAGAAATGAAATGCCAACCAACTGCTACCTTATAATAAAAGATGGTCCCCTTACAATAAAGGATGGTCAAACTTGTTTACTTTTTTTCGCTAGCTTTTAAATCAAATCATTTGTAACAGCCAGGAGATGGCCAGTCTCGACACTTTAGGGAATATCAATATTTCTTTCAAGACAGAAACTGTTCCTACACAATACATAAAGAAAATGTTAAGAAAACAGTAAGAGATTCTTAAAGACACCCACATTCATTTTTCAAGTAAGTAAATGGGTGTGAAAAAATACAGTTCTCAAGAAGTGGGACTTTTAAAGAGTTTCTATTAATTGACACTCCCACTGTGATTTTTTTTTGTTAATATTGGCTGACCATAATTATATGATACTGATGATGTCTGAAAATAAGAATATAAACATTCAGATTTCGCTAAGAAAAATAGAAATTGTTTTTATTCTCCGATTATGTATCAAACACATATTGATAGTGAATACATATATTCATGTCAATAAAAGAGACCATTTCAAAATCCCTCAACTTTGTATTTCAGTTAACTTGAAAAATAATGAACATCACAATAATTATTATATGCATTAGTTTTTGAATCTGCAGCAATTTGTTGTTTTTTTAATCAATCCTTGTTCTGGTGTCTTTTTTTTTTGGAGGCCAATGTAATGTGTAATAATAAGATGTTTGTGTTACCTATTCAAAACAATTAATAGTAATCTTCTACTACATAAATCCTTTGACAGCTTCACAACAAAACAAATATTCACAAATATGTATTACTTACTTTTGGACTAGAAAGATGATTATGCTGTGAGTTTGGTAAGGAGTTCTGTTGTCCTGGTGATGACCCTGGAGGAGACAACTGTGATGAGGATGACCTTTGAGAAGGTGAAGGTGATGGTTGTGAAGGACGTTGTTGTCCAGGTGATGGCTGCGGCTGGGGTCGCTGTGGTCCAGGAGATGGATTAGGGGTCAAGCGGTGAGCTGGTGATGGAGATGGGGCTGGACTAATTTGCTGATGAGGTGAAGGTTGTGGAGTAGGTCTCTGTTGCTGTGGTGATGACCCTGGTGGCTGCCCCGGGGGTTGAGGCTGTTGTTGTATTGAGCCCTGACTGCTGCTGTACTGTGACTGAGAATTTGGAGGTTGGTTAAAACCTTGCTGATTGTAACTCTGCTGACCCTGAAAACAAATAAAACAACTCTGTTAACTTTATAACTCTTTTTTAATTACGACTTACAAGGAATTTTAAAGTTAAAATACTTAATGATACTGCCAGCAGTAATATATCTGATTAATATTATTTTTGAATATCAGCAAATTATTATAGCTTATTAAATTTAGGGAGTAAATAAATATACCCTGGTATATGAAAATCTCCTTGAAATTTTGAACAACAATTTTTTATACCAAATTTTACAGTGGAAGTGAAAGACTAATTGATAAAAAAATATCACATGGACTTTTGTACATATTAGACTGGATTCTCACACAAATTTCATATCATGCCAATTTTACAATCTTGCACACATTCAGTTGTCGGTGTTCTTTCCAGATGCATGTAATTATTTAAAGGAAAACAACAATCCAAAAGTCCTTTACTAAATCAAAGCTACCACTTAAGTGATTATAATTATGCTTGCATCATTTAAATACATGACAACAGTTAACAGTTTTTTCAAGAATCAAGTAATTATTATTACATGTTGAAGTACTTTTGTTGCAGCAACAAAACAAACTGTATGTGAATTTAAATGCTCTTTGCTCTGAAAGCATTGTAATTATATCAGAAAAATTAATAATAACTAGTGTCAGTAAGTTCGACAAAAGAACAAAAAAATCTTCCCATATTCAAGCAGTTTATTTCCCTTAGAAAAGCGGAAAATTATATTGTTGTTTTGCTATCAATGATCTACAAAGGCATGCTATAAATAGCTTCCAATTTTCCCAGTAAATGTCATAATGTTCAATTAAATGAATTATAACACAGAATTAGAAGTCTGGGTTTTCCATAGTGTATCAGTTAAGTAATCTATCACATGGATATACAGAGAATGTATATACTCTCTTGTAACAGGACCTGTAACAGACACTCTGGAATTCTCCACTAGAAGGAAATCAATAGAATAGCGATAGATGGTCTCAGATGCCGCTCAGCTATGCTGTTTTTCCTCAGCTCAATGTTGAGAAAATACAAGCATAAACTGAAGATAGAAGTTTGAAAATATTAGTGTTAAAAGGAGTAGTTTCTCAACAACTCAAAGCAGAATCCTAAAAGTATCTTCCATCATTATTTTAACATGAAAGCATATGCTTCTTCTTTGCATATTTATTTTAGAATCCTCATATTATTGATAAAACTTTCAGATAATTGTCTTTAAAGGGTCAGGTTAATTTTAAAATACTGATGTCCAAGAAGAACACCAAAGAATCTTCAAGATCAAGGTCTGCTTCTTGAATGACCTTTATAATGGATTAAATGGAAATTCTTTTATAATCTTAAAAGTGACAGACACCCTAACTCCTAGATTTCAAAAAACTCCCATAAAATTATTCAACTTTTGTCTGTATATTCCCCAAATCCTCATTTTGAAACCATTATGGGTGTATTTCTTCTGGAAAAAAGTATTTACACTATGTTGCATATATACCAGAATCTTTTGAGTCTCAATATTACAAATGTGTCATCTGGGGAGGAATAAAAAGAAGTTTTTCTTAAAAGTTCTATGTAAATATTTCATACAATATGTTTTATTTGTACAAAAAGGAGGAAATGAAATCATGTCTGAAGACGTCATTATAAACTAAGTTGCAGTTTTGTGACACATACATTTCCTGTCTTATACAAAAGGATTTAGCTTGTCTTAACAAGCTTTCACTTATTTAAATATATCATTTATTATTATATTATACAGGGCTTCCATTAAGTTTCAAAATTTGGAAGTCATAGACTGCAAAATCTTTGATATTGGAAGTCACATTATATAGGTTAAGAAGGAAAAGTATTAGATTTTGGAAGTAACCAGCCAAAATCAAGGAGTAAATGACTCCCAAACTTCCATTAACGGAAGCCTGATATAACATACATCTGCAAGTGCACCAATCAGCACACTTTTGACAGATTCTCAATTTTTGTCTTTCCACGATAATCATACAATGGATCATGCCATTCATTTTTAAAATGCTTTATTTCACTGTTTTATTGAACCTACAAGGTCACTGACATTGAACTTACATGTATCATTCCCATATTTTATTTTTGCTTTATTTTGTGTAGCTTTTCTCTCCTCCCTTATGAAATAATTAGCAGATGTATGACAATGTCGAGATGCTCATTGTTGTCATTTCCTGTAACACTCAACATGTTAGATCACTGACCTTAATACACCACTTAAACAACATAGGGGAATTAATATTCTAAGCTTCTGACAAATCAAAAATTGAATAGTAAAACTTACACTTCTTATTTACTTTTTTCACTTGACAAATCAAGACTTACTTTTTTTGACTCACTCACTAGTCATTCTTTCAAGGGCACATTTTGGAAATTTAAAAAATTTGTTAAAATATAACTTTGTTTATATCTTTACAAAACTGTTTAACTGAAAGAAAAAGTTTCACTACTATTGATATAATAAACCATGGCATTCATAAATGATACAATTTCATTTTATTCATCAAAACAATTTTTTCTCTATTTTCCTTTTATAACCTTTGCATCATAAAACCATTGAACAGAAAAACATGTTTGCGTTTCTATGATCAATTAAAGTTCCGTTGTTTCGTCTTATACTGATCAAAAATGTCTTAACTAAAAAATGTCTTAACTAAAAAAAACTGCACATACTTCAATAGTACGTTTATATCTATAAATAATAGTACAACTGATCTTAATACTTGTTGAATTGGTATTACACATACTTCATGTATTATAACATAGTAATCCACTAAAGCTTTATTTTCACCTGATAAGGCAACATAATTATCCAGTTGTATCAAACAAGACCGACAGAAGTTTATATCATTACTTCCCCTCAAATGACACCCAGTGACCTTTTAATAAATAGCTAGCTTCTTTGTAATCAATATCAATCTTCTTGAACAATGAGGTCAACAAACAGATAATTAAGTCATGAAAACAAAATCTGGGAAAAACCCATTTGTGTACTTAATATAGAATGTAAATAATGTATTATTATCACAAATGATTACAGTAACTCTCTCACTCGGTAATAATCAATTATCTTTGATCTTTTGCCAGGAAGTATATAAACTCACCTGGCACTTCAAACAGTGAACCTTATCCTTCCTATTCATTATATTTCACAAATTGGTTTAACTGTCAATCAAAAGTTACATAAGAAATACTCATGCCTTTTTAATTGTGTTAAAGGCCACATTTAATGAATAAATAGATTATGACTTATTTTGACATTGATGATTAAAATTGATAACAAACAAGTAAATACCAAGGAGTTAATTGGTTCGTGAAATCAAAATATTGCTAAAAATAAAATTACCCAGGTAGTTTAATAATTATGTAAATAAGAAAGATCTGATAAAAAAATTACAAACAATGAAATGTTTAATTTGCATAATGACCTTAATAATACAGCAAAAAAATGGAAATTTGTACTCTTTAAATAGAATTATATTAAATACTAAAACAGATGTTAAAATGGATAACTGAGCCTTAGGCCAAAGTATATGTTATTATTTGGCTTGCTTTACAACCACAAAGTCATATGTTACATTTATGTTTAAACTGCACTTTTTACAATCAAATAAATAAAGATTTTCAACAACTATATATTACAAATAGTATATATTCATAATTATATTCTATATCCTCCACAATTACAAATTTTTGCAAGCACGTTTATGTGCAGCACAGTTATTCTTGCATACCAGACTGGCATTTCCGTTTAGTTTTACCCATGCCGGAAATTTCATCTGGCATGGGGGATGCCAGATGAGTGGGTGCTGTACAACTGCATGCTTAGGATGACAAAATTTCACCCTTATGAATGAAGTTGTCATTTCATATGCTGTTGTAAGAAAATAATTATGGTTGTAAAGACAAATTTCCATAGAAAAATGTTTTATCATGGTTAAAAGTTTAAAATATACTGGAATATGGTAGAATATGCAAGAACAAATATTTGACACGTTTGCAGTTTGGATCAGAATATCCATCCCTTAGAAACTCACCCATGACAGGTCCCCTCTGAAAGGATATTCCAATCCGAACCTCAACATATGACTGTGAACTGGTTTCTGGTATTGGACAAGTTTGGCATTGAACTGTTTAATTTCAAAGAATGTTGGACAACTATAGCTCATTATGTATCAACTTGGATCTTCTAAATGCCCCTTGGTAATTTTCAAAGTTAGAAAATTCCATTTTCCCCCATGTATTTTTAAGTAGAATCTGCAGCAGGACAGGAAGAAGAGTGAAGTCAGGAAAATTGAAAGACCACTGGAATGAACAGGTTTACATTTAAAGATGGAAAACTGGATACCTTATTTTGTTTTGGCCCTTAATGACAACGAATATGTCAAACTTGCAGTGCATGGGTATAAAGGGCGGATTTTACCACCTGGCTGTCCCTGAACAATACCGTTAAAAACTGAAAAGTTGAGGCCAGGGTAACTTTTCACTGGTACATTGGTCAAAGGACATGCCAACAGGCAGAATGTTGAGCCCTTTCATCTTAATTCAAACCTGAACCTATAAGCTTCAGATTAAGGAACAAAACGTATACATAGGTGAGATGTGCACAACATATACTCTTTATACCCAAGGCAAAATCTGGACATTGTGTCATCCTAGGTGACCTTGACCTCTGACCTGATGACCTAATTCCTGTGCATGACACAAAGGCTCATGATGAACACTTGTGCCCTAAAAAACTCAATTCATGTTATTTGGAAATTCCTCATTGCACAAAGAGGTTATGGCATGGACAAGTTTTCATGCACCCACAAACACATAACAGCCATTTTTGCAACTTTGTCAAGCTCAGCGCAAGCGGACTCAACAAAATCCTTTGACAACTAAGCATAAGCAAGATACAGTGCAGTACGGACAAATTTTGATATTTTTATTTGACCTTTCACCTCTTGTGAACTTGAACCTTCATTTTGCACAAGACAACTCAACTCACCAGGGAGAACATTTCTGCTTAAAGTTATATTAAATACATCCATGCATATAAAAGCTATACTCACAAATGAATGTTTGGATTTGTTATTTGACCCTGAAGACCTTGACCTTTTTGACCTTTACCACAGACACCTGAATTTTTTACATATGACACTGCCTCACTATGGAGACGATTTGTCTTATGTAATATTAAAATCATGCTTCGCATGTGGAAGTTATTCTCCAGTCACAGGTTTTGCCTCTACCCCTCCCAAGTGTGACTCTGACCTTTGAGTGACAGACTTGGCTTTTGCATGTGACACACCACCATATCATGGTGAACATTTGTATCAAACTATTTTGTAATCCTCAAAAGAATGAGCAAGATATAGACCGGACAAATCTGGATGGATGAACGCACATACACAGAACTATACGCCAAAAGTTACTAATAAATCATGCTCAACGCAAGCGGGCTCAACAAAAAACATCTTTAATTTTTCTCAAGTTTGATTTCCTTGAAATCTTTTGGCTCATCGGGAGGTATTCAGCTTTAAAGTTTGTTTAAAAGGAACTTTTGAAACATAAAAATCAACAAAATTAACAACAATGCTGCAGCGGAATCTCTCGAAATTGATAAAAGCTACAAAGTTTTTTCTTTCTTGCTTTGAAATTATATTGAATCTAGCTTTGTCTGAAATGGGACCCTTGTCAGCACATGCGCCTTCAAAATAAAGATGGGGGGCTAGACATTAACATGAAATAATGTCATCCAATATAAGCAATTCATTCATGAACAGCACACAAGGATGACTTTATTTAAAGCCTGCAACTTGCCTAACTTAGGGTTTGCAAGACAGGTTTGTTCCAGCACTGGTGTAGCACTAGCAGTAGCAAATCCTGTTAAATATGCCAGGAAATGTATTTTAAATTTAAATTGAAGATGAGTCCTATTTCATTGGATGACCGGGTTTTATTTACCAATCGCATGTAACACAATAAAGAGGTAGACTAGCCAGATAGGCACCCACAATACTGGTTAACGGCAGTGTTTGAAATTAGCAGTAGTCCGATAGCCCCTGACTACTAAATTTCTCCTCAGGCTACCAACTTTTCACAGTAACAAGCCCGACCAGGCTACTGTATTTTCAGAGGCTATATAAACAACTGTTAAGAACAAATGAATCGTGCTAGTGAAATGTATTTTGGGCTAGTGAATATTCCAATCTGGTAGTCCGACCAGCCTAGTCGATTCAAATCCTAATTTCTTACACTGTAACGGTGCATCAGAACAAATTGTTGCATCTCTATATAATATCCAATATGGTTCTATAATATTATAGTTTATTGTTATACCACTGTAGTGATTAGAACTTCACTAAAGCAAGCTTTAATTATCAAAATTAGAATTTAAACAACCTTTCCTCTAGCTTCAAATATGCCAATAATAAGAAATAAACAATAGGCAATTACAAGTTTATAAACCTGGAGTACTGTTAAAACAGCAGTACTATATGTATCATTTCATGACACTGAATTTAAGGACAATAATTAGCATTCATTGATCATTTTTCAATGATATTTGACCATCTCTAAATAACAGAATTTGATTGTTGCAAAGTAATTTCATATCGATAAAAAGACACAAATTATACTAAATTTTTTATCTTCTAAACGGAAAATCTTATCTTCTTTACTAATGAATTATTTATCAAATTAAATTTATTCAAACCCCAACAAAATGTCTATATGTTAAAGAATAATATACGAAAAATAAGTCCCAAGTTCTGTTATGTCACTTACTTATAAATATCAACCGAATAGAATACTTCATGTCTTTACTGAAATCTTTTCATACAATTAATAGTTAATTTAAAAAAATCATTAACAACTCATTTAAATTGAAACTTGGTTACAAATTTATTTTTTGTATAATGATTATCTTTCATGTATAAGAATGATATTAGACAAATTTATGAAATTAAATTCCCATGCCTTCAATTCCTATCCCTGTATTTAAAAAAAAAAAATCAAGAACACCACCTGTGAACAATTTCAATAAATTTTAAAGAGCTTCTCAGCTACTGCACTTCAATCAATCAGCTTCCACAACATCAATTGATTTCTATCACAAAAGCCAACAGCCAATCACATTTTGGAATCAAATAAATTGCGCCAGCTGTCTTACAATCACTAATTTTGCCACCAAATTTAAATATCCTCACTCACATGCATAATAGCACATGGTCTACAAATCAGATGTAAACAAAACTAGAGTTGGGGAATTTCCAACTCGCTGACATTTGTGTACTGCCTGTAACAATAGGCTAAGACATTAATCAGATAAACATACACTCGAGAGTAAATGTCAATAAAACATCTTAAAGGCGGGTAATATGAAATACCTATTCAATAACAAAAATCCAATAATCAGTGTAATATTTCCTTATCAGTTATTACCTGGCCCCTATATGGGGAAGGTCCTGACATTGACATCTGAGGGTAGTTGCCCATCCCTCTTTGATTTTGCATCCAACCCTGTGGCATACCATAGGGTCCATTGCTCGCACTAATATCTGGCCCCTTATGAGGTCCCTGGTAGCCATCATAATTGTTTTGGTATCGCGGCTGAGAATTTGGCGTTTGCAACAGCTGGTTTAGCGTTGGTGTCGGCCCCGACTGCTGCGAAATTGTTTGTCCAGACAGCATTCTCTGCTGGTTTGAATTGTAAGCCCCTGGTCCTGGCATCATACCCCCTCCGTGGGCACCTGCCCCTGGCCTGACAGGTCCCATTGGCGGCCGTGGACCCCCAGGAAAACTTCCACGACTGCCTGGCTGTTGATACTGCCCATATGCAGAGCTATGACTTGAATATTCATTACCCATACCATTATCCATGCCTGGATAAGCTGATCTATTGTATGGGTTATATTGTGACATTTGTCCATGAGCCATCCCCTCGTTCATCCTATTATAATTGTCAGGACCCATACCCTGTTCTCCAGGGTTTGGCCCATAATGATTCATCTCTGGATTCATATACGAACCCTCCATACTTTGTGAAAAGTTGCTGTGTTCAGAATTCATAAGCTTGTGGCCACCATCTTGAAATGAGTCCATTGTATTCGCCTTACGTTGCTTCGAATTTGAACTTATCATAGTAGTTTTCTGCCATCCTACATGTCCAGTGCCCTGATACAAGTTTCAAGGCACTTAGTAAACCAATCTTACTGGTACATACCTCTGTATTTATCCTTCTATTTGTCTTTCTATCACGAATGAAACAAAACAATCATACTCCCCGAAATCCAAGCAAATTATCTGACCTTCTAGTCTCTCGACGTCGAGTCCTCCTTCCTTTATATTCCTTAAACAATTGAGCAATGTTTTTTAACACACGTGTATTGTTGTTACATTTTAGGCAATACCTTGAGTCAAGAAAATAACTTGGATGGCAGCATGGCCTTATCATAAACAGACCTATTATATGGTACACTTCACTAAGCGGGAATATCTGAGAAGATCAGTCAAAAGAATTCATACGCAAATAAACAGGAACAAAAATAATAAAATATAGGCCCTATATGCATACATTTTTTCACCATCTTACCTTTGCATCAATTTTGTGCACTCGTTATTACTTGTGTACATGTCATTTGCATGCGTTATTTATTCAGATAAATTCGGGAATTCTTTTATGTCAGCCGACCACTTGGCGGAGGAAGAACGATACAGGGTTGTGATGCGTCACAGGCATTCTTTTCAATTCTGCCGATTCAATTAGCTGTTGCGTTACCCTCCCCAAACGCGCAACTACTTACATAAAATTATCTTGTCGAAACAAAAGTGTGAATTTTACTGAAAAGTAACTGAAAACTCTAAAAACTGTATAAAACTTGGTTTATAAAGATTTTGTACGATATAATTTGAGCAATATCAGGGAAAATATTATTTATTAATTTCCGTATGGGAAATAGTAACAGCCGAAACTTGCCACAGGGCTTACGCGGTGACGTCAATCAAAGGTGAAGTCTCTCGTATTATTGAGCACACATTAGTGTGTGTTCGTTTTTTACTTTAGATAATCTGGCGTGAGCGACTGTAGCTGATTAGTTGCGCGAAGTCAAAATTATTTTACGAAAAGTTTCTATTTCTGGTAAAAATGCTTAAAAGTCCACGAAAATGACCGAAAAAATATTGTAAATTTAAGAAATAATGCAATATTTATTTCGCTGTTCCCGTTATAAAACTTCACCCCGCGTGTAAGTGTATATTGAGCGCACAAACACGGAGAAAACCGGCGTTTCGGGTCGGACAAATAGGAAAATACGTGACATGGGAGATAACTTTACATCAATTATTGGCATACCATGACAACAAAGGGAGGTTTATTCGCATCGTCTGCATGAATAAAGTAGGGCCAAATTGTTCGTGCAAAAATTATTACACAAGAGAGGCCCTGACGCGAGATAAATCTATCGTTTAAATGGAAATTTGTATGGTTAAACTGATGCGAGAAGAAGTTTATTAAAACGAAGAATAAATTAATCTATAATTAATATAGAGCAAATATATTTTAAGTTTGCCCGTTCAAGATATTGTTATTTTCTTAATAAGTTAACTGGAACATGGGTAAATATATGAATAATGGTTCAATTTAAAGTCATATATATCGTTCATTTATGTACTTTTAAAAAATGCTTGTATAAGAACTATTTCCTAGAAATTGGACGGAGTTGACATGTAGTTAGATCGAACGTCCTAGATTGAGTTAAAAATGTAATAAAATGAGTATAACTGGAACCACGGGTCAACATAACATTGTTGAAATCGCAAATGAAAAAATCAGGAACATGAGTAAAGTAATGTTTTTTTCCTAGTTTTGAGAGACAGTTAAACAACCCGAGTAAAATTACTATTGATTCACATTAAAAGTATTTTAGTTATTACTAAAGATCTATTCTCTAATGTATATAATACATTATCCCCCTTTTCAAATTTCGTATCAGACAAGATCGACAGATTTACTTCCCATGAATATTCTAAAATATCAACTTACTGACATTTTAGTATAAATTATTCCAGTCAAAGAAGTTTGATAGCCTGGTAAAAAAAAACTTTTCAGGTACCAATCGTTGATACTTTGGTTCAGCTTTGACACAAACCACTGAGTCAAGAATATTCAGTGAAAAAGCAACGTCGTTTTTAATCACGGGGGTGGAACCCCATATGAATCTCAAAAATGAGCATCGGTAAAAATGATATGTGAATTTCCGCTGCACCAGATGTGAAGCATAACATCAGATGTGACTGGAATAATAGGCCGATCGCAGGGTAAGTTTTCATCTTTTCAAACATTTATATAAAATTCAATCCTTTTTTTAAGATAATCGAAATGTGATTCTACCCTCCTGACTCTCCTCTATATTACCCCTTGTTGTTTTGAATTTCTATGCAGTCTTCATCGAGATATTCTTTCCGTCGTGGGTTCTGGTGTGTCCAAAACATGCAATATGAATGAAGAAAATGTCACTAAACGGACTCAAAAAACATAGATTTTACGAAATCTCACTACAGGTCGATGCTAAACATTCAAACAAATCCTGGTTTATATATTTATTGAGATTTGGCTACATACAAGGGAATCGCTGCTCAAAATTGCATTTGAGCTCCAGATGTGCTGAAGAGATTCATATGTGCATAGCATGAAAAATTTGCAACAATCTAGAATTAATTCTATTGTGTATCATTCTGTAATAAATACTATTATCCGAAATAGACACATTTTCACGAGACGAGCTTGAATAACATAGTATCCATATAGAAAGAGATATAAGACATTCTGCATACGAAAGGTTTTTAAAATACGTAGATATGGTGGGAAGGCCTTTTTTGACTTATTGACGTTGTGTGTACTGCAATCTTTCCCTTTTTATGTCACCATGCATTAACTAAATTAATCAATTAATTAATTATTCACTCAATTGCACTGTCTGCTTAATAGGAGAGTAATGTGAAGCGTGTTTGAATTTGTTATGATGCTGTAAGAAAGTTAGTGATAAACTTTTTAAAAAAGATCAAAGAAGATTTGCATATTTATTTTCCACATTAAGAAACGTCCCTGCAGTATATTTACATGGTTCACTTCATGCCCACAGTCGCAATTATGGGTCAATGCCTATCTGAATTTTATGCCTGCTCTGTAATTCTTTGAATGGTTTTAAAGAAACTTTAACATATCTTAACCGTATTGAGCGGACATGCGTAGCTCATAATGCACATAGATTGTTTCCTGAAAATGTTCATGTACGCAAAAAGATCACTAAACTTATTCTCCGCTTTATAACTGTTATTTCAGTGGGAACTGTAAATTATAAACACTTTCGTAATTCGTTTCTTTTGTTATTTTTCAGGAAAATGGGTCGTTTTCTAGGCACAAAAAAGAAAGGTTTAAAACTTTCAAGAATAAAACGTCACGTGTATCGTGAAAAGAGGAAGTCATCAGCGCTTACATATCCTTTTTTCGCCTTTTAAATTGTCCCCATGTGTCAAAAGATTCCGCGTATCGCAGACTCCAAAGTCCAAGAATTCACCAGAAAGTGCACGTATTACTTTTTCCAATTCAAAGAAAAAACGCTTAATATTCAATTCACAACTATTAAGTCCCATGAAATGTTCTCCACAGAAAGGATTTGCAAAGATAAATAAAGTCAGTTGCAATGAACAGATAGACATTATGGATGACATGGGTTACATAAAAAGTAACCGAGGTTTCGGGTGGGAAATTTAATTTATGGAGAGAAGCCAATCATAAATTGAAATTTTATGTTTATTAAAATTCTCATTTCTGTTTATCATGCGATAAAACAGTTATAGTATATCGAACTCGATCATTATGTAGAAATATCATGACCTGGGGCGGCATCTCGGGTTTTCCTTACAGACAATATTCTCGGCCTATATCCTGTAAAGAAAAACCTTCGATGTCGCATCAGGCCATGATATTTACACATAACAGTCTGTCGCTATAACTATAACTTGTGGAAAATTAAAGTTATAGATATCTTTATGAATGTAAACATTATTAAAGAAACATATTATATGACACGATAGGTACTCATAAGAGTACTATCCGCTCTGCGTCACCATTTTCATGTACTCGAGCCTTTTAGTATTTCTAATGCTAGTATAAGCTAGTAAGCTCTGTCACTGTGGTAATCAAACACACTAATGTTACAATTAAACTTTCAGCCATAGATGCAAAACCTATATTGTTTCTATACATTGGCTATTCAATGATTATATGGAACAGGTCCGTAGTTTTGTAGATGGTTTTCTACATCACTTATGAATCTCTTCAGCACATCTGGAGCTCAAATGCAATTTTGAGCAGCGATTCCCTTGTATGAAGCCAAATCTCAATAAATATATAAACCAGGATTTGTTTGAATGTTTAGCATCGACCTGTAGTGAGATTTCGTAAAATCTATGTTTTTGAGTCCGTTTAGTGACATTTTCTTCATTCATATTGCATGTTTTAGACACACCAGAACCCACGACGGAAAGAATATCTCGATGAAGACTGCATAGAAATTCAAAACAACAAGGGGTAATATAGAGGAGAGTCAGGAGGGTAGAATCACATTTCGATTTTCTTAAAAAAGGATTGAATTTTATATAAATGTTTGAAAAGATGAAAACTTACCCTGCGATCGGCCTATTTTTCCAGTCACATCTGATGTTATGCTTCACATCTGGTGCAGCGGAAATTCACATATCATTTTTACCGATGCTCATTTTTGAGATTCATATGGGGTTCCACCCCCGTGTTAATGGTTCCAAACACGCTCGAACAGTACTGCATCTTGCGGTATATATACGGTTTAGATTATATTAAATCCACTCTATTCAAATTAGATAACTGAAAACAGAGTTTTTACGAATCTTACCACCGAACGATGATTGAAACATTTATTGAGATTTGGCTTAAAATAAAGGAATTACTGGTCAAAATTCCAGCTTCATATGTGCTGAAGAGATCCATACTGATAGATGCATGATGTAAATATCAGCAACATAATAACGTATTTTTGTATTTTGAGTGTGTTTAGAAATATCTTCTCCATACGCATTGCATGTTTTGGACACACCAGAACCCCCGACGTGGAGAATATCTCGACGAAGACATCCGGAACAAAAATGAGTAAATATAGAGGAAAGTCAGGCGGGTTCGATTTTTTTAAAAAGGCTTTAGATTTAATGTAAATGTTTAAAAAGTAGAAAACCTTACGCTGTGATTGATTTATTTTCTTTTTCACATATGGGTTTATACCGTACATCTGATTTCTACCGATGTTCAATTTTGAGATCCATATGAGGTTCATCCTCCGTGATTTGTAAGAAATATTTTGCAATTTATTAAAAGGATGCAGTCTACGAATTTTGATATTTTTGAAACGTTCAAACTGGAATCATTCTATTTTAAAATGATGTTACTTGTGTTTTGTTTAACGATGCTTCGTTCTTAGACAAAGTCAAAGGAAACTGTTGATGTGTAATGTTCTATTAAGTAACACTTGTATTATACGGCTTGCACCATCAGTGTCTCGTATATTTTATTTGAAAAATCGTGTTATAAGACTAAAGTCCTATTCTCGTTTACACAGGCGCTAGTCACATAATCAAACATCGGTCTATATATGTATATAATATATAGACCGATTATGTAAAATATTTGATTATGTGACTAGCGCCTGTGCTCGTTTACAATGCAAATATCCAAAATTCTGTAATATTTTAATTATAAACAAATCAGTCTCAAAGACAGCTATTTCCCCTGTCACACCGGACATTAATGTGAATTGACCGGTCTTAACTTTGGGAGTGGGGGTAAAACCTAGTTGTTGCGCTATATATGCTCGTTGTAAGCATATCGTATCAAGGGGGTGATTATTAGGTCCAAGCTAATTTGAAAAGTTATGGATCAGAACATTTAACCCCTACGTCGCTTGACCTTGATTTTTGGGTAGCAACCTGGATGTTGAGCTCTTCACATCGCGCATGATGGTGATAATTTGTGCCAAAAAATGTGAAAAACTTTCCACTTTGTGAAGCGGAAACGGAATCTAGAATTTTTAACAATTGATCTGTAAGTATGACCTTGACAGATAGGGTTAGCGACCTTACTATTGCGCTGTGCAAAGTTAGTTAAAAAGCTTTTTAGCAGTCCAAAAGTTGAAAATTTATGGATCAGAATATTAATTTTACCTTTACGGTGACCTTGGGACAGCAGCTTGGATTGTACATCCTGACATGGTGGTTATCTTTTTTTTTCAAGTAATCCATAAACTTATCAATAGTCAATAAGTTACGGAGACGACTTGAAATATGAGACTATTTAACATTTGGCCTGTTAGTCTTTGGTCTAATGTTCAAAAGTGACCAAGATGTTGCGTCATGGTGGTATCATTTGTGCCAAGCTATTTCCAAGCATTCCCAATAAAGTTTGTTTGTAAGCTATACATCCTTCGGATTATTTACCGAATCTTTCATAATGCTTCCTCGTAGGAAAAATTGTCGTCATCACTAAAGAGATTGATGATTCCATGATCTTTAATTTACTTTGATGTAACACTTGTGCGCTAACCAAACATCTATGCTACCTCGCACATCGCTTAGTTGTTTTATACAGACTATTCTAAGTATGACAGTCACACAATACCAGTTCAATATTATTATCATATAAAGGTGACATTTTCTGCTTATTTTGAATCTTCTGAAAACCAACGTTAATGAACATGATTAGTCCGATGTTTGTTGTTGAAAAGATTTTCAAATTGGTTTAAATTGACACCCGCATTGTTTTTCAAGAATGTGAAAGACATTTGCATAATATTTTATCCGTAATATTTATAACCGCACAAATATAGTTTAGAAGATTTTAATTTAACTTAAAAAAAAGAAATTCAGAAAACTTATAGAACATATAAAATTAGAATATACATTGTGAACTTAAACATTCTGAATGTTTTGTTTCCGTGATATATTTGATCATTGTAGGTATTTTCCTATGTCCTTATAACATTAAAATAGATAGCAAGAGCTTTAAATATCCTGGTACGAGCTTATTTTTACCTTCAGTTACCATTTGATATATACATTGAGTGAATACTTTCATTAGAGAGTAATGTGAGTGAAAATGTCTTATTTTATGCCGAATAAGTAAAAATCGGGAGCGATCACTGATCACATGTGTCTTCTGATGATAGCCACTTGCGTGTTGCAGCTTCTAAAGGCGTTTTTGCGACGGACGCGCCCTCAGGCGCGTTCAGAGCTAAGTCATCTACACATGGGATTTCGTCTGCTACACTCGCGCAAAGTGTCCTCAACCGAATAACAGCCCAGAAATAGTACATGAATTTGATCCTTTAAAACTCACATACCCAGCAAACATACCTATATCGGGCCGATATCGGCTATATGATGGAATATCTGTGTCGGCTACCATATATCGGACCGATGTCTATCCGATATTGACATATTTCACAGATATAGGTCCGACATCGGTCCGATTTATATTCGTTTGACATGATTTAAGTTTTATCATGGTAACGTTTTTTAGCATACAGGACCATGAAAACCGGGAAAAAAAATCCGAATTTTAACGCGTTTAACCATTGAACGGATATTTATCGTAATTTGCACAATGGTAAATAGTTACCTACGCACCGTACATCCGGGCACGCTTACATTTGGCGCAAAAACTCAACAAGGGACAAAAGTTCGAATATTTACAATCGCTGGGTAATTTAGCATTTTCTAATACCTTTTTGATAAAATATCATTAACATAATTGATATACTGGTTGAGTGCTATTGAAATTTTGAAAAATAAATAAAAAATATATGGACAAGATGGCTTTGATTTTATAGTCATACAATTTCGCGATCACGTTAAATTGGGTTGGTAATAATTTCTTTTAAACCTATAGGACCTTAGCAACTTGTTGACATAAATAAGAAATAATTTGTTCTTAAGTTTAAGCAAGACTTTGTCATTAAATTTTGTTGAAACAAAATAATTAAAAGTTACATTTTGACAGAGAAAATTCAAGTTCGAAAAGATATGCGTTGCAAGGTCTTCATTATCCATACTAAAACAGCATCAGTGTTTTGCTTTTTTTTTACTTTTTTTGCTTACTTATATTGAAAGTTATGTTTCTCATTAAATAATATTTTTGTATTTTAGCACTAGGGCTGGGTATTGATCAGAAATTTCCGATACGATACGTATTGCGATACAGACCAACGATACACAATACGTATTGACGATACAGTACAATGATGCTTCATTGTTAGGATGTACTTATTAAAAGTACTATTTACATTTCATAGATGCCCTGGTGAAATATTATTGAATCTTTCTTATATCTGTTTTAGATTTTGACTTTGTTAATGATGATATATAATACAGAGCAGGTGCATAGGTACCTTAATTAGTACATTTGAGATAATATTTTGAAAATGACATGATGGCCCCTTTTTTTAGATATATTAAACAATTATTTTGAAAAAAAAAATAAAAAGCTTTGTAGAGAAATAATTCAATGCAAAAATATAATTAGTAATCTAGTACTGTCTACAAGTCAACTGTTCTAAATTATAAGCTCTTTATAATAAAATCAAATTTTTGTAGAATTTGAAATATATACGCTGAGAAAGTATTGGAACATTGAAAATTTTCTAACAATTCATGTTTTTTCTATCTTAAACGGTAAAATTACAATAAAAATATAAATATCATGTAATGATGTTGTGGTGTCGTAATCCGTAACGTAACGGGAAACGGTGTTTAGCTACGTCTTCGCGCAGTCACATTTATTTAGTTAGCAAACTACATCTTGGAAAATCAATAAATTTGTAGGATTTATGTGTTTACAATATGTGTTTGATTAAATTACAAGTAAATGTTTTTGGTCTAATACAAACTACTGCCGACCTGAAAGTATTTTTTTCCAGTGTTAGAAATAGGAGATTGAATGGCCGGATAAATTTTGTCACGGATTTATCCGTCATTTTGTGTATTGACACATTCGTTGTTCCACCTGAACTAATCAATGCAGCCTTTCAAATATTGCTGAGGGCCTTCTTAACATTTACTTTAGAGAAAATTCCACACTTTTGACTTTCGTGTGGACATTTTAAAGACGATAGTTTTAATGTAAAGCCATCATGTTTATAAGTTCCACTTTTTTATTAGGTTGTCTCCCTTTGTATCGGTATAGCTAAAACCCGATAACCGTACCGTATTGAAAAACGGAAAATCGATAAATACCGATTTACCGGTATATTGATCCAGCCCTATTTAGCACGAGATATCCGCATTTTTACCCTATTAGAAAAAATGTCTCGACAACAGACACAAATATTGGACACTGTTCATCGGGTATTTGGTGTCGTGTCAAAGTTGGAAAGTCAAGATGGTGGTGGACCAACTGAATTGCCTGATGATATTCATTTACCAGTTACAAGCATTGAAGAACTGGAGTTGGTTGAGACAGGTGGTAGCAAGACACTTCACCCCCCAGACACTTCACCCCTCAAATTTTGAAGACACTTCACCCCTTAAGACACTTCACCCCCCAAAATCAGTAAGACATTTCACCCCTCATCCAATTTTTTTCTATAAAGTAAATAAGTCAAGTTAGTCAACAACATAATGCTTATAATTTTATATGTTTATATTAATTTTTTTTAGTATTATTTGATAAAATATTTTGCTTAATACCTTTATTTTTACTAAGTTTATAAAGCTAATTTAGGTTAATTGGTTGTATTGCCAAATGATATATACAATGCACTTTCATCCATTAAGTGTTTATTACATGTCACCTTGTTTATTCAACATTTTGATTGGTTGTTTATTCAACAGTTATCTCATAATTGATTAGATAATTGAATTAAAATGGTATTATTGTATGAAAATTAAATTTATTTATAATATTGAATAAATAAATAAATAAATAAATAAAATGAATATTAATGAATATAAATGAATATGAATGAATGAATTGGTTGCTTTATAAAATATAGTAAACATAAATTATTTATTAACATTATCAGACACAATTATCCTGCATTTCATACAAAGATCATTCATAAAAAAATGTCATTTGTTAAACAAATAAATAGCACAGGCAAAAGTATCGGACCTGGGAAGAAAAAATATGACCAGATTGATAAAAAAACCTGTGTTCATCTTAAAAGTGTCCAAAAAAAACAAAAAAAATGTATATAATGACCCCCTTTAAAAATATACTATAAGTTTAAAAAAACCTGTGTTCATCTTAAAAGTGTCAAAAAAACCCCCCCAAAAATGTATATAATGACCCCCTTTAAAAATATACTATAAGTTAACTTATAGTATATTTTTAAAGGGGGTCATTATATACATTTTTTTTTGTTTGTTTTTTTGACACTTTTAAGATGAACACAGGTTTTTTTTTATCAATCTGGTCATATTTTTTCTTCCCAGGTCCGATACTTTTGCCTGTGATAAATAGCACCAGTAATGTAAATTAAGCACAAAGTTAAAGTACAAATTGTCACAAAAACTTCAAGAATTAAATCAACTCAAAATTTATAAGACAATGGGTTATACTTTAAATTACATGAAAGTCTTTGTATGAGTTTATATATATATATCAAAGGAAAATTCACACAAAGGTTCACACACTTCACTAGAAAGATTATTCAATTAATTATATCACTTTTACTTGAATTGGAATTAGTATAAAATATATAAAATATTTAAATAATTACTTTGTACTATTAACTAAATTGTGATATGAGCCTTTTTATAGGTATATCCATTGTCTTTGGTCAGTTACTTGATAAAATAATAATAAAATATGTTAAAACAATAAACATACTCAATCACTATTGAATGCATTTAACATTTTCTACATAAATAATTGTTAAACACAAAATAATAAAATGAGGGGTGAAGTGTCTCAATCAAATTTCTTAAAATGAGGGGTGAACTGTCTGAGGGGTGAAGTGTCTGCAAAAAAGGGCCTAGGGTGAAGTGTCTGGGGGGTGAAGTGTCTGTAAGCCAGACAGGTTTACAAGAACCTGGTTGTTTCAATGGCTTGGTAAATTGCCTGCTGCACAGTAAATGGGCCAATTGTGTTAGCATCTAAGTCAAAAAATAAAGTTAAACATACAAGACAATATTTGCTCTTTTTAAGTACCTTAGGGTGTCTATGACAATATTTTTGGAAAGAAAGGATAACTTTTTGGATACCTTTTTCAAAATATTACATCTCTTGTGGACTGTGTGGGTAGGGGACGGATGTTACAAAGATATACTAAAAGTCTGAATATCTTACAGTTTATAATAAAAATTGTATTATTTCTCTTTATTTTATTAAAATATTATGTGTTCTGATTAATGTTACAAAAAAATCCAGAAAATTCATCTTAGATATAAAAATATTTGCTTTCAAATTTTCAGTATTTTTCACACAAAATGAAATTTTCAAACATGTTAGAAACAGAGAGAAATAAAACAAGGATAGGTTCACCAAATCATACTTAAATCAAATGTGCAAACACATTTCTTATAAAACAGTAGAAATTATAGGACTTTCTTTTGTATATTTTTTGTCAGATAACCCAAAAATGAATTGTATCAGGGGGACGGATGTTACATTTTTGGGGGGACGGATGTTTACACTAGATGTTTAAAGCTCATAGTTCATACTTTTTTTTGGTTTTATTTTAAAGTAATATAATTTATAAGAGTATATGCTTTGTACAGTACAATAAATGTAAAATAATTGAACAAATTATGAGAAAAATGTAGAAATATACCCGACAATTATGGAGTTTCTTACTAGTTGCGTTTCACAATGAAAATTGCATTGACTTAGTTTTCTTCCATTTATCTTACATTTGAATGAACATGAAATGTTTGGAATAAAATAAAAAACATTGCTAATTAAACAAAAGAATCTTTGTTTCCAGATAATGCATTAACATTAAAAAGAAAATGTCATACCAACAGTACCTTTCTATTCATGAAATTATTTACAAAACTCTTTTAAAATTAGTTAGATAATAAAATTCTATATTTTGTAAAAGATATGATACAGTGTGAAGTAAATAAGTTTTCAGATTGAAACATATGCAAGCTTGAATTTCTCATTACTAAATACATAAATTATACACAATTAAAAATTTTCATTAAAAATTATAAGATTTTTAAATTGCTGCAATTAAGTTCTATCGATTTGATGAAATTTTAAGTAAATTAATGTGGAATGTTAGCAGCATTATCAAAAGATTTCATTATGATTCAGTATCATAATTCTCATTATTTCTAACTTTTAATAATTCTCTGTGTAAATATGTCAGTGTACATGAACTGCTTTAACTTAATGAATTAATTTGTCACTCAATAAAATTTATAGGTGCAAAATAATTTGCGAAGGGTTTTTTACAGAATAAATTTTCACAACTTTTTTCATTACAGGAATCCTTACCTTATCCTTTACTTACAAGTTTCTTTCACTTTATTAACAATAATTAAATGGGTCAAATTGTATGAAAAAATGTGCTTGAGTTTTTTTTTGGGGGGAAAAAATTTTAAAAATTTTTAATCAGGGTGTTTGAATTATATTTTTTTATTTGTTTAAAATTTTTCAGTGACTACATATTTAGCCTATAAAATTTTGAAGTTCAATAAATCCTTTGACTTAAATAATCTTCAACTTCAATACTTAATGACAGACATTCTTGAAACAGATATGGTAGTCCCTCCCACTGTTTTAAGCATAATTAATATATATCACCCTTAATTGGCACCCCCTACTGTTTTGTAATATATCACACTTCCCAATATACACAGCTCCCAATATACAGCTCGTTAACTTCCAATAAAGTGCAAGCCCCTTCTGTGTGTATAGAGTTAGGATCCATATCCCACTGTTTTATGAGGGGCTGGGATACATGGTTTGTTAACTATTTAAGGCTAAAGAATTTATGTTTTAACAATTGACCAATTTTAATCACAAAGATACTTTCAACATCTCTATCGTTTGCACCTTTTTCTATATATCCTGTTATGGATTTTTTTTTTGTTTCTTCTATTTTTTTTTTAAATTGTATTTTATTTGTTGTGTGAAACATTCCTATACAGTTGCAAAGCTTACTACTTCTCTATCATGCATCATAAGAACAAGATAAGTTTTGTATTACTGTAAAAAGAATTTTTAGTTCAATTCTGTAACATCCGTCCCCTTCTGTACTCTTAGTTTGTAAACACAGAATGACAAAAGATTATATTTGTTATAAATTCATATAAGCTTAAATGTTATCTTAATAAACTCATTGGTCCACTTGAGGTTAAAAAATAACATATAAATTTTATTTCAAAGTAAATAATTTTGATTTCAGAGCAAAAAATACTGATTTTTTTTTCAAAATTAAGGAATTTCGTGTTCACAAATAATATTTTTTTTATAAATACATCATTTCAGTGCTTTATTTCTGTTATTTCTTCATTTTTCATTGTAACTTTGGTGTTTTAGTGTAAAATTCCCTTTCCAGTTACAGTTTATGTGAGATTTAATAAGCATCTTATATAGGGGGACGGATGTTACGGGGACGGATGTTACAGACAACTTTTACATTATTGTATTTTTTTTCTCATAAACATAGAAATTGGCATTTTTTATAACATTTTCATTGTAAGGCTATCATTAAGCACCAGAAACATTGTTTTTTATGAGTATTGTTTTATAATTGGATATTTTATGAGAGGGGGACGGATGTTACAGTTTTTTCATCACAAAATTTTTTTATCACTAAAATGCCTATTTTGGTAAAAATGTTTGAAAATTTGAATTGAAAACACTTAATATATGTTTTAAATTCATATTTCATTAGATTGAGACAATAAAGTACTATTTTATTTGTAATTGCTTAAAGGTATACTTGTTTGCTTAACAACTGAATTTTGAAAAAACTGATGCATTACAAAAGTCTGATTTTACTAAAATCATCTTAACGATAAAAGCCAGGATGATGTATACCAAGTATTATATATCACTGGAAAGGTTATTAAATTTTCTATGTGCATGTAAAAAAATTTAAGTGATAAATTAAAACAGATAATAGTGGTGTTAATTCTAAAAACACCAAAAAAACAGATGCTAACACATTACATGTAAAATTGGACATTTTTAGGGTATAAAAATGTCTGTATCTTTATTTTGGGTAATGCTATCACAAAAAAATTTGGGGCACATTTGCTTTATAGTAAGTCCTATATAAAAACACAAAAAATAATAGAAAATGCAATATTTTTTTTAAAAAAAGCTTGCATTACATGTATTTTTGAAAAATTGGCCCATTTACTGTGCAGCAGGCAAAATTTATTTTCATTAGTTAGAAAGATGTTAATTTTATCTTTGCACGAAATGAATTTATTATTGTTTTTGAAAACAAGTGTTTTTGCTAAACTTTTTTTATGTCACTAAAATTTTGCACACTAGTTTTCTGTCCGTCATACTGTTCTTAAAAGTTTTTGGCCTGTCATTAGTGTGCTTTTGTTTGTAACACAAAAGACATTATATTATTACTCTAGTGTAATATGTAGACATTATATTATAACTAGTGTAATATAGTATTTCTTAAATAGAGAATATCTGTTTGTTTTGCATGTAAAATTGAAAAATATTTCACTGAGGAAACACCAGATGCAATATTAATTTCATGACTTGCATTGCAACGAATGAAAATAAAATACCTGGTGTTCACGAATGAAATATATTTCAATCTTATAATGTAAAACAAATAAATTTTCTTTTTATTTCATGCTTTTTTCGTGATTTTAAATATTTTTTACTGATTTGCTGCCTGACGTCGCGCATTCTCCTTTATGAAGTCATAACATCATGATGTCACATCATCAATTTTGAAATATAATCCTGTTAAATCCTCCAATTTTGTTACACTTTTAACATGATAAATGATGACATCGACTTTCTTTTCTTAAAGAAAGAACATTTACGTATGACGGCATTTTTTTGGGCCTGTTATTCCATTTAGTTATATTCTTTTCATCTGCATTCAGATATAGTCCGGCTACAGTGAAAATGATATATTATAAATTTCAGTAGTGGTTTATCAAAATATTATCTATCACAGTGAAACACTGGAAAAGCATGAAATAAATGGCCTTATTACACTCCTGTGAATTATGTGTCAAATGCTTTTTGAAACGTTAGAAATGTGTTTAGAACAAAAATCATATATTTCAGGTCACATACCTGACACTGCAAGGAGGTATCACAAGAAGCGATATGTCAAAAAGAGTCATGAAACACTGCATGTCAAATCAGTTGGCACTTCAGTTCAACTGGTTTGGCAAGAAAGGGAAGAGAGCGTTTGGGAAACTGAAGCTGGCCAAGGCAGTGCAAAGTAATTATTTTATTTTCATTTAAAATTTTATGGATAACCAAACACATAATTGTTACAGACAGTAAGAAACCTGCATATTTGACTTAGATATTTGATTAAAAAGAAGAAAATATATCACTATGTTCTCACCTCTGCATAGAAAAGGATATTTCATAAAAAATAATATATCCCAAACTGTGATTTTATTGCTTAATTAAATGTTTGGAGTTCAAATGCGAGGAATTATATCAGGAGGGAGTAGCCTGATTGATATAATGATTGTATTCGAATATCATAGTGATTTCATAATGCAGTGAAATCACTTTTTTGGATATATTATTTCGATTAAAACAACAACAGATAAATACTGCCGTACCTAGTATTAAGGTACACTGCGTCTGATTTGTTTCCATACTCATTTTCAGCGCCTCACATTTTTAAATGCTAATGTCACATATCTGTAAATGGTTTCGTCACATGTTTAAATACAGTGATTTTATTGCATAATAACACACTTCAGGTCCTTCTGTGTTTAATAGAGGAAAATGCAGGTTGTGTTAGAATATTATATAAATTTTGGATAAAGTTAATATTTTTTATGATGTATACCTTTACTTGATGTGTTAATTGATAAAAGCATAATATTCAGTTTAGAACACTTGAATGTATGGAGAAGTTAATATTTTAATTAAGTATATCACAAAAATTTAAGGAGTATATATAGTCTACCACTACATGTGTCTATAAAGTTCTGCCAGAACAAATAAGTAGGTAGATCTTATTTTCTTTTTTAATTATACTTACAGAAGCAGTCATGAAATGTAAAAAATGTACAGCAGCTGAAGTCGAATTAGATTGTAGAGAATGGTTTCGAAGTGCATGTGACAGAGACGGGGGCCGTAAAAGAAGACAAAAAACCAATGAAGGTGTCCAAGAAACACCCACTGAATAGAACTTTTAAATATATTTATAGCGATATTGAAAGAAAAAAGATGGCTCTTTTAATTTGGAAGTAATGTAAAGGACTTGTATCATTCTAGCCTAATAGTTCAAGAACATATAGCCTAAGAAGAATAAATCATACATAAATAGTGATATAGTTAAACTAAACATTATTCAGATATATTTAAGAAACAATATCAGTTTCTGTGTTGTTCATCGGCTATTTAAAATCAGTTTAAGCTTGTGTGTCAGGCAGGATTATATATATTGTGTTTACATCGTTGCTGGATTAATGATTCTTCAGCTATTGACCAGTTTAAACTGACGCCATTCTGGCACTTGTATGAACAAGCTGCATACTTGGGATGACGTTTTTATGGTGCTTACGAGTTCGCGTCAATTTGTCTTATAAAACTTATATCAATCTGTTGGGTCGGTGAATGTGAGATGTTACTTTAGCATCATATGAAAAGAAGAAAAAAAGTGAACTGAAAACATCAGAAAAAGTGCGTTATTATTTTTGCCGTAAAAAGAATTTGAAAACTATTTTATTGAGGGAGAACAAAAAACAGCGGCATATTTGTGTAGTCCATAATCAGTGCTTATTGGAAGTTTACGCCGTTAAAATCCTTCTTTGTTATAGAAACAAAATCTCAAGGAGTGTTAGATTTACACAAGATGTACATATTGTTATTGTTTTTACTCATTCAGTATTTCAATCGCACATATCAAATATTGAGATTATGGTCATAGCTTCATGATAATCAAATAATTTTTACAATTATAATACTAAATCCTGCGATTTGTGAATCTATAATTCAATTATTGTTTTTTATTCGTTATTATAGGTTGTTTTTTTGTTTTATGCTTTGTAAAAATATTATAAATCCATTTTATTACCATGCCTTGCCAAATGTATAGTCAAGTCTAGTCTTTATTTTTTGCATTGTTCTTTACATTGTTTTATTCTTACATTTATTTTCTTTAATAATTCTGCATAATTGCTGATATTTTTCATTTATTTTTTTCTATTATTGCATAATAGCTGAAGTATAGAGAAAAAAAAACACCCATACAAATGCAATGTTGTAGATTCATTCTCAGTTTTTAAATGGAATTTAAATCGTAGCTTTTGAACATATTAAGTTTTATTATTGGCATTTTTAATTTGTTTGTTTATAATGTTTTACCAAGGAAGCAGAACTAAATTGAATTATTACTAGTCTTTTATATCTTTTTTTAGTCAGGTATGTTTTTATTTAAAGTGAAGATGTATATTTGTTTAGAAATGGAAGCATGAGAAAAGAATTAACAGTGATGTTTGTACAATATATATATATTATTTATCAACAGAAATAACAATTGAAGATGGCCATAAGGAGTTGTTTACCAATTAATGCAATCTAATGTAAAAGTCAAAAAATATTATTTACTGAATATTAGTTATAGTATGATAAAATGATATAATGTCATCAGTGGGGAACTTTCTCAAGAGTGAATCTATTATATTCTTTAAAATTTTGATTTCTTAAATTTTATGTCTTCATTATAAAGATTCAGTAACCATGACAATTTATTTTCTTATTTACTTTCAATAATTATATATTAACAAAATTAATATGAGTGTTATTCTATTACCAGTATATTGTCTGTGATTTTTAAAGGAAATTTTTGATTTCATTTATGAAATGGACTTAAATGTCTATTTAATAGATTAATGATATAATTAGACTTCCTTAAACACTAAAAAAACTATTACAACATTAAATAACATAGATTGAAGACTAATATTTTTTTTTTTTGGGGGGGGGGGGGGGGTGTTGTGCACTTTTTCTCACATACTTCTCAAATATTTATAACAAAACGATGAAAAATGGATTGTTTGCTGTTATGTTATTGGGTTTTATTTGCAGTCTGCGATAAACAATTTAATTTTGATAAAGCAACAAATACTTGTTTACAGTACCATTGTCCTTTAAAAATACAAATATATTTTTAGCTTGACTACAAAGTATATGGAGAGCTGTCCTACTCGCCCCGGCGTCCGCGTCCAGATTTCAGATTAAACTTAAATTTTTGGTGCAGTAAAATATTTTTCACTATAACTTTGTCATTTCTAAAGGCATCAATTTTAAACTTAAAATATATGTTCCTTATCATCAACCACATCTTATGTGACAAGGTTCATAACTCTAGCACCAATATTTTCAGATTTATGTCCCCTTGAACTTAGAATTTTCCTTAAAAAATACAATTTTTTATTGTTACTTCTTTATTTCTGAAGGGATAAACCTCATACTTCAAATATATGTACCTTATCATCATCCCCATCTTATGTGACAAGGTTCATAACTTTAGCACCAATATTTTCAGATTTATCTCCCCTTGAACTTAGAATTTTCTTTAAAAAATATTATTTTTTACTGTAACTTGTTTATTTCTAAAGGGATCAACTTCATACTTCAAATAAATGTACCTTATCATCATCCACATCTTATGTGACAAGGTTCATAACTCTAGCACCAATGTTGCAAGAATTATCTCCCCATCAACTTAGATTTTTTTACTAGAAAAATGTTATTTTTTACTATAACTTTTTTAGTTTTAAAGGTATCTACCTCAAACTTCAAATACTTATTCCTTATAATCAATTATATTTTATGTGACAATGTTCATAACTCTTGAAGTAATTTTTACAGATTTATCTCTCTTTGAACTTAGGATTTTCTTTAAGAAATATTATAACTTTGTTACTTTTTAAGGTATCTACTTCAAACTTCAAATATATACTTCTTATCATTACATACATGTTGTGTGACAAGGTTCATAACTCTAGCGTGACTATTTCTGGAATTATTTCCCTTGATCTTGGAATTTATTTTAACAAATGTTATTTTTTTACTATAACTTAATTAATACATAATTATACATAATTGATTTTTCTTTCATAGTTTTGTCCTCCTTACTGCGTCCAGTATTTTATTAGTCGAGCTTGGCTGTCTCCTGTGACAGCTCTTGTTTCCAATCTTTGTTAAATTCTCTTTTGACTGTGATGTTAACTGCTGTACACAATTAACATACATTTGTTAAAAAAAAATATTGATTCTATGATATACATGTATATTTGCCAAATGAAAATAAAAAGCTTATATTTAAGCTCAATTGTGTTTTTTTGTTAATTGGAATGAAAAAATCAAAGTAAAATGTTTTATTAGAAGAAAAATTAAAGGTTAATTTATGTCGGTATGACACCGGCTTCAAATCGATCTAATGATATACAGCCGATATCGGCCCGACTTGTAGCCGGGTTGCACATCCGACATCTGTCCGATATAAGAAATCGATATCGGGCCGACATAACAACTGATATCGGGCTGATATTGGACCGATATAAAATGTTTGCTGGGTACTTTGTCGGGATATCTTAAAATCTTCCATATTTAGCCTTTTCAATTTCAAATTAAGTTATCCAAGTAAAAATATGAACGTATTTGATTGATAAAAACGTTGTAGTTCCGTAGTATTATTGCGCAATATGCAAATTACTGCCGAAACGATTTACAGCTGTCGAAAAAGTAGGACAGCAAATCATACTATAATAAAGGTGTAAGCTCTGAGTTCCAAGAAATTATTAGTAGGAAATTAATATTTCTACATTATACAAAACATTATTATTAACAAATCAAAAGTTTTTCGTGTCTCTAGAATAACTCGCGCATTAATAAAAGAAGAACTATTTTCGTGACTCATACCGCGGTTTTAGCTGAATATTCAGCAGTTATTAATAAATTAGATACAGTATAATGGTTAGTATAAATATCTATTTTTGAAAATGCATGTAGCAAGAGAGTTTTTTCAACACTTTACTACCATGTAGTCTTTCATGGTAATCTTTATTGAAGGAAGTTATAATATCAGTTCTACTTCCGATTCTTGTGGTTTGTTTACATATTTTTCTAGGTCACGATACGAGTTAACATTCGCTATTCTAAAAATAGATTCTGCTTCACCTGCAGGCGATTAGGGGGTACACATTATACATGTAATAAACCAGCGGATACTTACTTTGCTTACATGCAATACTTACAATTGTAAGAAGCAAACAAGTTGAAAATGGAATTTAGTGTGAAATTGAAAAGGACAGCTTAACTGACATTTAAATTAAAATAAAAACGATGTGATCTGGCCTCTACATCTATGTATGTTTTATTGTCTATATGCCCACTATGATATAACACGATCAATTCTAAATAACATTCTCACATGTATAATGTATTATGCTTGAAGTTAATTTGCATGGTTTTATTTTAGAAATATTTCGTTGACCGTTTTTTTCTATTTACATATCATTCCTTGGAAGAAATCGATAAGGACACTGATTTACAAGTTTGACCAGTGTTTTTATGCATAAATTTCATTCTGTATAAGTAGAAAATCTGATTTATATCAGATTGGACACATAAAATATATTGCTCTACAAATCTCGAACTTGTATGGAACAAATTTTCTCTGTTATATCTTTTGTGTGTTTTTTTTTTCTAAAAATCCGGTTGCATGTCCGTCGCATTCAGTGCTGCAGCACTTTGATTTTATTCGAGGGCCATAACTCAGCCAAAAATCATTCAAATGGAAAACCTGTTTAATATGCGCAAGTACTTGAGGTACCGATCAATCCTGTAAAGTTTCATTTAAATTGCTTTAGTAATATAAATCCCAGGCAAAACTTAAAAATTAAGGGCCATAACTCTGACGAAAAATCATTGAATCAGAAAATGCCGACGATATGCACAACTAGTCTTAGTACTGATCATTTCTGCAAAGTCTGGATGAAATTGCACCAGACGTTTACGAGAAGAAGTCCGGACAGTTTTGTGATAGACGGACGGACAGACAGACGACGGAAAAGTGGTCCCAATATGTCGCCGCTACTCAGTAGCAGGCGACACAAAAAGATGAGGTTAGTAATTCAAGTAATTATATTGCCGTATTACTTTTAACAATTGAAGTAATGATATTTGAACAGAGAAATGTGCCGGAAAAAACAACAACAAAAACGTAACGCAACGCAAATTTATGGAATCATAAATTTTGAAACGCACGCAAGCGAAAAAGTTCGGCAAAGCTATATTACTCAAACTGTGAGTAATCAATACAATGTGAGTGATATAAAACTTTTGTTACGATAACTATACTTTGTTGAGTACAATACTGAATTCTGTTGGACGAGTACACAACTGCCAAACCTATATAGACCTTTTTACAATACGATTCTTTCATAGTAACCGATGTTGCATTTCGCGCATGCGCATTCTGCGTAGGGCAAAAGCGCAGTAAAATTGAGAACAATGAATGATACTTTGAATGCTTTAATAGTAGTGATTCCATGTTATGGCCACCAGAAAACAGTAATTTTGGGATGACTTAAAGGGGTAAGTACATGTACTGAAAACGTTAACAGATACGCGATATAGTAAATATGCGGGACTAATAATCCAATGGTCAAAAGGCGCACACAAAAGTCGTCTGTTTAAGGTATCATTAGACGACTTTTTCATCTGTTATTAAAATTTAAACAGCAGCGTGTTAAAGATTAAATTCTATTACCCCTGTATTACATAATATTACACAATGTGTATTGTACTCTTCCTTTGGATTGGTCAGGCGGTAAGTGTCAAACAGATTGACACGCGACGCGGTTGTTTGTTTCCAGCTATAATATCATTCAACCGGAACGTTTTAGTACCATGACATAGTTAATCACGTACATCTATGAAAATCGTAATTTAAGTAACTTTTATATATACCGATCTCATCAATGTTTATTGATTATGAGAAGTGACAATTAGTGTGACTTAATTGCATTAAAAATATTAACAGGTGTTACGAGGAACAGGAAAATGTGTGTTATTTCCCTTTCCTTAAAGATTTTGATTTTTTTTTAACTATTTAAAATATATTTATGTGACTTAAATATTGTCTGCTTTGCATCACAGTTAAATGAAGGATAAAATCAAGTAAACTGAACACTAAAAATGCATTATCACCGTGTCTGTTTTGACTTTTTTTCAGAATGATAACTAACCTCGATTTCATATGTTATAAAATTTCTTTCATCTTTTTATAAACTATTTCAACAACAATTTAGTTGACTCCCATTTGAATGATAGATAAAATTCCACAGTTTCTTAAAAAAATCTCAATGTCAGGTCCGTGACCGTAAGGGGAAATTCTTCAAGAATTTCCTTTTCCATGCCTTTGTATCGCAATCTTGGCCACAAAGCTATAAAGGAATCTTTTCTATTTTTGTTAAAAGCTAATTTATATAATATTCTACCTTTTACCTTAAACTAACTCGGAATTGCTATGAACTTCTTCTATATTGTATTTCTATATTATTCTATGCGTTTTTTGCCCTACGAAGATTGCGCATGCGCGGAAAAATACTACTTCCGATCGATTTTTTCATAGCAACGGACCGCGTTGTAAAAAGGTCTATTGGTTAAGGCGCTAGCCGGGTCTAATATAGTTGTTGAAGCTGTTTTTGACATTTTGAAAATTAATTTCATTCCTTTGAGTGCAAAAAGAATTTGATATGTTTTTTATGTTATGTACTTTAGAAACAAGGCTAAATGGAGTACAATATGCATATGATATAGATTTTTTGGATTTAGGAAATGAGAATGAGGCTAAATTGATAAAATTGGATCCAATAATGATTTCTAAGAGAAACATTATGTGCTGCAAACGCTGGAAGTACATTGGTTTACATTTTCTAGGGAGTAAATCCAGTATTTTACTAGTTACCATATAATAAAAAGATATACGTAATAATGGTTATATCATATGAAAAACAAGATATGTCATGTGATAAAATATAATACTTATACTGTGAAGAACCATTTTGACAAGCATAGCAATTAGATTAATCATATGCATGTCACCCTATATTTTATCTATCTATATTTATCATTAAAGATGTTCTCCTAAAATCGTCTTTGAATAATCGTTACTGTTGCAAGTTTAACTGCGCAAATAGTACTAAATTAAGGGATTCTTCAATTTCAGGGCCAGTAAAAAATTAAATCGGTGGTTAAATGAACCCGGATATTGCAACCTGAAAATCACAAAATTCAGAGGAAAAGCAGTTTTGTTTTAGTGTAAGTTAAATACCGGTATTGCAAAAAAAAAGTGTTTGAAATTGTTGTAAATATATAATTCCTCACGTAAAATTCCCTTCTTGACACCGTCTATTTTACCATAACGAAATTCAGCGCAATTCTCTTAAAATAAAGGTTAATCACTGTGTGAAATTACATTTAAACAATTCGTATATCAGTTTTCTTAAGCAGGTTCACAATTATTTATATTGATTAACATCTCATTTAGATACATGTGTAGTCCTGACCAATACTATTATCACATGTGATCATAGGATACAGAACCGTGGCAAAAAATATACAGTATATTTGTTATCTAGAGATCATACATTTTTGTTGCGAATTTTTATTTTAGCGCCCGCGATAGGTCTAAAGTCTATGATATCATTTTGTGTTGCATTAGCGATTAATTTGCTGGAAACCAAATCTCACTGATTAACGCGTTTTGTTATCAGTGAGTATTCTTCTTGTTTTAATGGCAGCGATAAGCCGTGCTTTGAACTTGGAAGACATACGCCTTCCATGATTTTAAGAAAACTCGCTGACATTGACAAAAACAATCTTAAAATTTGTAATTAACATCTCATTTTCTTACTTTATATCTCAATATCCAGATGAAATGCATATGATCTGGAGTAGCCTGGGTTCCAGTCTGTCGATTTTTTGTTATGTTTCTGTTTGGCAAATCGACACTATCAAAACGACGAACGAATACGGAATAGCTCATATGTTATGAATAAAGAAAAAAAATGTTATAAATAAGCAAAAACTATCAACGCCTGAATCCCAGGCTAGATCTGGAGTATACTGATATCAGTACCAGTGGAATTATTTAGATGTCTTCAACCTAAAGAACGATATTATTTTTTGCACGATATGGTAGTTTCTACGTTGCACCAGTTAAACAAAAGCCGCCATTTTTACCGGACAGCGTGCCTGAAACGATTTAAATCGACCACAATGGCGTACAAAGGAGGAGCAAAGGTGCAGAAAGTAATGGTCCAGCCTATCGTATCCTTTTCATTTTATTTATTCAGGATAAAATCATGCATATACCTTGTTGTTTGAACTTAAAATGCATGAGAATATTATTGACATCGCGAAAATGGGTAACCACACGAAAATTGTGTTACAAAATACTTTTTTCTCATTTCCTATGTTACCTACATATATCGGCTACGAGTCCTGTAGTAGTGCTGCAAATAAGTCAGTTGTTAAAGTTTCAACAATTAAGTTATGTAGAGCATGTAGAGCTATTCCAGTCTCACACAATCTTAAAAGACTTTTCACCATCAGACGTTTCCGGGTAAAGGGTCAGCACGGACCTAAATCAAGTTGGCACGGGTCAACTCAGCCCTATATCAACTCGTCAAGGGTTATCTTGGCCCTCAATTAAAAATCTTAAAGGAGTTTAGTAAATATGGGGAAGTCAAAGGCCTCAACCTCGAAGCTATAGACGACACTTGTCACATGTATATCTTAAAGGAAATGAAATATAAAAAAATCAAAGAATATATAGAATTCTATACCCGTCAGTAAAATAATCAGTGTCATTTCTAATTTGGCGCTGCCATTTTCAATGTAACTCAATGATGATAGGCCAGGAAATGGAACAATCACAACTTTCCGGACTAATCATCAAGTAATCATCAAGTGTCCCAACCGAAAATGGAAGCTGTGCATGAACTACCAAATGACACATTTAAAAGGGAAGAATAAGCAATCTTTTTCAGTGATTTTTTCCCTGTATTTTACAGCCAAATAAAGGCTGTTTCCCCTAGCTCAGAATATATAATTTCCCCTAGAAAAGCTAATATTTTCCCCTGATATGCCCTGTGCATCTCTTCACCAGAACCATGACTTAACAGCATCAGACTTTTTATATCAGCTAGAAGACAGAAAGCTGTCCCTGTAGCCTGTGCTATGTACCATGCATGTTAAATTGAATTGAAATTGAAAATTTTATAAGATGTGTGGGTAAATTCCATTCACAGTTGTTGGAATTTCTGATTCATCGTGCTATGTTTTCCCCTTCAGAAAGCCACAGGTTTGGAAATTGGAAAAAAATTACATTTACCAACTTGCCCGATAATAGTCTTTGCCTAATTTCATATTAAACTTTTAAAGGAGTAAATTACTCTATAAAAGTAATTAGAGGTACAATCACTATTTTAACAAATAGAAATTGAAAAAGTCAGCAGCTTGTTGTTTGAAATGATCTCTGTTGGTAAGAGAAGTCAAGACAAGATGTTTTATGATTGATCTTAAGATTTAATTTTGTGACAAAAAAATGTAATTATATTAAACAATATTTCCATAGCAAAGTACCAATTTGTAAGGAAGTAAAATATGTATGTCTAAATTGTCTATAATTGGACAGATTAGTTTGAACCGAACATTTACATCATAATATATATTTTCTTTTAAATTCCATTGAGGAAGTCGATTATCCCCTATCATCTACTATAAACACTGATGTTTAACAGAGATAAAAGGTGATAATTGACTGTCTAATTAGATGAAATTCACAAGCCTTTTTTGATCCTGTATTTATAAACATAAAACTGTTTCATTTTCACACTTGATTTAATACAGAACAGAAGAGGACATAACATATCGTTAATCAAATTAGATTAAACAATGAAAGATATTATGAAAATATATAAAAAGTAATAAATACGGGCCTGTGCCGAGTTGGTATAGGGCTGAGATGACTTGGGGAACAAGTTAGTTTTAGGGCTGAATTGACCGGGATTCATAATTCTGACCAGCTTCAAACCCTGGTCTTTTCGGCACTTTTTAAAAAAAATGTGATATAGGCATATCTTATATGAAATTAGGTGCTGCCTATAACATAGATAAGAAAGCTATTGTGATTTAAGTACGGACATAATAAAATTTTCAAAATATAAAACAGATCGTTCCCTGACCTAGTAAATAATAAGTAAATAGCACATATTTGGTTACTGTTTTATCTATATGAATGAATTTGTTGTGTTCAACCTATCAGTGAAGTGTCTGCCATTTTTGTTAATCTCATTTGCCCATATAACATTTATGAACAGTTTAAGAAAATTAAAAAAAAATTCACAAGTAGTGTTAGGTAGACTGAAACTGAAGGGTCAATGACATATGACACAAGATTGTCAAACGTCTAACTCTAATTATTAAGAGGGTCTAACTCAGTAATTCTAACAAGTGTCTCTGAGTCAATTTTCAATATAAATTATCAGTGAAACTAAAGTGAAATATTATTAATATATTTATTGATGTCTCATTGATGTTTTCTGAATTCTATTTATAGATATTTACTCCATTTTAAAATGATTTAATGTTAATTTTTGGAACAGATGGATATAAATGCAATGCATGCAACATTTTATTAGGACGAGGGAAATAAACTCAATGCAATGGTTCTGTTTTGGCACCAAAATAGCCATAAATATGTACTGTGCAGTACAAATCATCCAGCATTGTGGGGACAGATCAACAGTATAAACTTATTTTCTGGCTATCCCCAGCCTCTTTATGGCCATATGGGAGATGGGCTGTCGTATCAATTGTTTGATGCATAGAAATTTGCTGTATGGACATTTCAGAAATTATTTTCCTTAACATATTGTCAGAACTTGATTTTCAGATATCTGCAAAATGTAAGTATAATCTACAATTACTTTGTCATTAAAAGTAACTTATAAATTTATAATATAAGTCCAAGAATTTCTTACTCAATCATTAGTTATGTCAGTAACTCTGGAAAATGTGATTCAAGATAAATCATAGTTTAAGAAGTCATCTAAGATTATTGCTGTAAGACTTAAATATTAGCTTTTTGTTCTTTGTTGATTAGTATAAGCAGTAAATTTTTTTGCTTCAATTACAGAAATCAAGAGTACAAGTTTGGTTATATGAACAGGTCAATCTACGCATAGAGGGCTGCATTGCTGTAAGTAAACTCTGTCTTCAGAAACTATTTTATAAAACATTTCTTTTATTTGAGGTCATCTTACCTCACATGAGCACTGATTGCGAAAGTTGATCATAACAATGTGAAAATTCCCCCTCCTACAGGTACAGGTACTGTACTCCAAAAACAAAGCGAATCTACTTGAATGCCAAGCATTATTCTTTTAAGAGTCAGTTCATTGTTTAGATTTACTGATTAATAATATATGGCTGAATTGTTAAATTATGAAGAACAATAAATATAAAGGAGCATGGGGACTCTTGAACTTCAGAATCTATAACATAGCAAAAGTGACAATAATATGGACTATAATAGTCATCTAAGTGAAAATGATGTTTGTATCGGTCCAAGTCAGCTTAAAATTTTGTCTTCATTTCTTCCAATTTAAAAGTCTTGTTCATGATTGTGTATAATCAATAACCCAAGTGACTCACAGAAAATACTGTAAATGTTCTTTGGAATGTATCATTAACGTTCAATTGATGAAAAAAATTGGGCAGTCTTTATATTTTAGGAAATTGTTATATTTTTTTCATTATCAATTATTGGTCAATTACCATTATAGTAATCAATTTGAATTTATAGATAATTCAGCTCAACTAGAAAATGAAAAAAATGAGAGCATAACATCACTTTAATTAAGAAAAGAGTCACCTTACTCTGGCTATGTATGTTGAAGTTCTGGACCTGTGTTTGTTCTGGAACAAGTAACCTTTAAAACCTGGCAGATTGTGAGCACATTTGTCAGAATATGTTGACCAGTTCTGGAGCCATTGTCTCCCTTACCTACAATTTGCCTATCTATAAGTTTCATATCCTGTTCCTCTATAGCAGCAAAATTTTTGTTTGTACTCATGGTTACATTCCACCTGGAGAGCAGGTCATCTTCATAGACTTGCTGCCATCTCTGACCTAATGAAATCACTGGTGAAACTATTTCACAAACAAGAATCCCCGTAAACTTTTTGACTTTAATTTCTGACATTATCTTTACTGATTTTACATAGAATTTGATAGAAATGAAATTCTCAAATTTTTTGATCACCTATTGTGTGTCAAGTATTTATGTGTCAGTGAATTTAACATTGATATACACATAAAATGTAAGAACTTGACTGGTACAAAGTTACAAATATAAACATAAACAAGTCAACCTGAATTTACTTACCAGATTTTAATCAGGAAATTTAAAGGTATATAATGAACAGAATTTTTCTCCAAACTTACAGGGATTTGATGAGTACATGAACTTGGTATTAGATGAAGCTGAGGAAGTACACATGAAGAACAAAACTAGAAAATCATTAGGTAATGTTTATCATTATGTAACTTTAAAACATGAACATTTAAAAGCTTTAAATTTACTTTCAAATTGATCATAATGTTGAAAATTGTTCAACATTACAAACTACATACTTTATAATTTGATGTCACATTTTAAAATTAAGTAAAGGAAAACTTGTTATGCTATATTCTATGCATACATTTCTAAGACGTATGCATTTCTAAGGAAAAGACGAGACATTAGAATTCTGTATGAAAAATAATTCCCAAATGCTTTGCTGAATTCAATTGTTCACTTCATACTTCGGAGAATTATGAAAATTTTAGATACATGTTAATATTTGAAACATTGTTGGGAATCCCTCTTTCTCAATTTAAATTATTAAAAGAATTTTGTAAGATTTCACGGTCCTTTGAAATTTCTGCACTAGTACAGCATAAATTTAACCAGATGTCCTAAGAACATTTTAGGCAGGTAAAAATGCTCTTCTACAGAGAATGGTTTGGGGCATTGTCCTGATACAGTTTTCAGCTCGACTATTCAGAGAATAAGGATAGTGGTTGTTAGTCCCCTACCGAATTACCGGAGGGGACTTTAGGTTTACCCTCCGTCCGTCTGTCCGTCCGTCCACAAAACTGGATCCCGTGATAACGCAAAAAGTACTGAAAATATTTTTATGAAACTTGAGATATGGATAGATGGCAGTATGGAGATTATGCACGTCTTTTTCTTTTCTTCCTATGTTGAAAATTCTGGTTGCTATGGCAACAAAAAGGCTGAAAATATGGCAAATTTTACACATAACCTGGATCCCGTGATAACGCAAGAAATACTGAAAATATTTTTATGAAACTTGATATATGGATGGATGGCAGTATGGAGATTATGCACGTCTTTTTCTTTTTTTTCCTATGCTGACAATTCTGGTTGCTATGGCAACAAATAGACTGAAAATATGGCAAATTTTACACATAACCTGGATCCAGTGATAACGCAAAAAGTACTGAAAATATTTTAATGAAACTTGACATATGGGTAAATGGCAGTCTGGAAATTATGCACATCCTTTTCTTATCTTCCTATGTTGAAAATTCTGGTTGCTATGGCAACAAATAGACCGAATTTCAAGATTTCTGATTCTAGTTTGTAAGTTTTTTCACTATAAGTATTTTATTTTTTAAGTTATTTTCTTCAAACTTTAAATATAAGTTGCTAGTCATCAACCACATCATATGTGACAAAGTTTTCAACTCTAGCACAAAATTTATCAGAATTACCTCCCTTGAACTTAAAATTTTCATGAAAAAAATATTGTTTTTTTTAAGAACTTCTTTTTTTCTGAATGTATCTACTTCAAACTTCATATATATGTTTCTTATTATCACTCAACATTTGTGAGAAAGTTCAATACTCTAGCAAGACTATTTCCAGAATTATGCCCCTTTTGAACTTAGACTTTTTTTCGAGAAATTGGTAATTTTTACTCCAACTTCTCCAATCATGATAGGATTTTCTTCAAACTCCCACATCATAATAATATGACAAGGTTTATAAATCTAGCATCCATATTTCCAGAATTTACTTCAAATTCAAAATAAACATTCATTATTCATACCTTCATTACTAATTGTTCTTTGTTACACTCACATCATGTATGACATCTTGCATCTTTATTTCAAGAGTTATCTCCTTTTTAAAAATTTTGCTTTTAAAAATGTTATATTTTGATAACAGGGATGTTTAAAAAATAACTGTAGAGTGTCCTTCAGTCCGTCTGTCTGTACATAAAAACTGTTTCCTGTGATCACTTTTAAAGAACTTTTTCAACAAATTTACTTAAAATAGAAACATAAGCGAATGGCCCTTCAGAATGTTGCTGGGGTGCTAACCGGTAGGGGACTTATGGATTGCTTGCAATACTATGATAATTGCTTGTTGTTCTCACCATGGCTTCATTGTCTGCTTCGTCGTCACACTTTGGTTAAGGTTTTGGGTGTTAGTTGGTAGCTCCATAACAACTATAAGGGAATGAGTTGAAACTTCACGCATTCATTCTCTGTGATTATCTAACATGATAGGCACAGGTCCCATAACTGTGAATTACTCGTTTTACAGAGATATACCCCTTTTCTTACTGTCAAGCACTGAGAGTAGTATCTTGAGTGTGCTATCTTACAGACAGCTATTGTTAGTCTTCTTGTTAGCTATTAGTTTTAGATGTGTCAAAGCAGCTTTTTTTTTCAATTATATATTATTGTTAAAAAATGTAACTAAGAAATTTATGTTAACTATAATACTTGATAATAGTTGTAACAAACATTTTCATTAATTTCAGGTCGAATCCTCCTTAAAGGTGACAACATAACATTAATACAGGCAGTGCAATGAGAACCGGTGTGATCTCAATTTCTCCATTACTCCATTTATGTTGTATATAATTTCATGGTTCAACTGTGGCAAAACTTAACAGAAACTGTCTGAAAATGGAAGCTGGTCTTATTCTTAATTTGTGTGAGACATATATTAAGCAAAAATTGAATTTTTTTTTATTTCTTGCAACTGATATTTGATAGGAAATACATTGTTAAGGCGTACAATGGATTAGAGATTATAGAATATTTTGATGCTTCTGTTACGTTTTGAATGGGACCATTGTATTGTTGTTTGGTGATGTTAAGTATGAAATTGTAAATCCAAGGAATAAGTTTAACTAGTTGGTATTATTTTAAAAGAAGCCATGTTCAGAGTAATGTCTTGAGCACAAAAAATGTTGGTATTCAGTGTCATATCTCATGACTTTTAATAAACGTAATTTTTTTTTCAAGACATCTATCATTGTATATATCATTGTAGTAAAAAATAAACATTTTACAAATTGTGTTAAATTTTTCTTTGTATTTGCTTTACTCCAGTATACTTATCCTTACCATAATACATATTTTAGAGGAACAGGCCCCAAGATTCCTGCTAATTTTCAAGAAAATTATAAAAAATGTAGAAATAAAAACAGTAGAAATATGTTGATGAATACTGAAAAATCAGTCATTCATTGCATGAAACATGTAAATCATTACTTGAATTGATTATACAAAAATGTATTTTTACATTTATTGTCGAGCCTGCTGGCAGGGAGCTTGACAGATGTCACAATGGTGGTTCTGTGTATGTATCTGCATCTGATGTGTTGCTTGCAAGTACCCTGTGGCTAGGTTAAAGGTCAAGGTCATACTTTTACGTAAAATGCAAACAGCTTGTCCACAAAAAAACTCATCACTTGCGTTTGGAATTTCAAATAACCTTGCACAAATGCTCGACATCATAAGACAGTGTGATGGAAAATGGTCTCCAACTGCTTGTCAGCCCCATAACTCTTGTCACTAGCTAGTTCTCATATGACTTGAAATTTCCACACAACTAATTGATCTACCCTATATCCAATGGAACAGTTATCTCGAAAAAACTATTTACAGTCCCATTGTGTCAAAAAACCTCAGTGGAGTACCTTTAAACCCTGTTAAACTACCACTGGATATGATGCATCTAAAAAGTTAAAATTACAAATTTCTTGCAGCTGTGATGTTTATTAATGAAATTCCTAAGAAGCAGATCATGAACAAATTATGTATGGCTTACACCAATTCTTGAGATGGTGTCCAACAATTCAAGATGCATAAAGGTCTGTTATGGTCACAGTTTTTGTGATTCAACTTGGATGCCCCTGACCTCAGAATTTCACCACTCGCATCTTAAAACCGGCCTGGACAACCTCGGCCTCTAGAAATTTCTTGTTGTAAAGCGATATGGAATTCAGTTGAAACTTTTGGCAAACATAAATCACATACTGATTTATGGGATAGCAAAAATTTGAATGTACATCATTTATATGGTTTATTAAAATTGGGAATTTGCTTCAATCTTAGTTAAATATCGAAGCTGTTGAATCAACAGGTTACTTTAAATATCATCGGCGACTAGTATTTTGGGTATACAAAGCAGGGCAAATCAATTACAAAATTCAGCAGGCTAACAATTTTTGGATCACTCCACTATGCACAGATACACACAACATATTTCTATTAATCATGACTCAACTGAAGTGAACATTTTCATTTTAATATTAGAGCTAATGCAGTCCCCCTTTTGTTGGTGTCCCTGTGGTTAAGTTTTTACGTGTAAGCTGGTATCTCCATAACTAATGAAGGGAATGAACACATGTTCTCTGTGATTATATAACATGATTGGCACAAGTCCCATAACTCCGATTGCTTTTCTGCATAATTATGCCCATTTTTGTGTCGCCTTGGGTTACTTTTGTTGGCGACGGCTTCCCTTAAGCTTGTCCGGAGCATAAGTTAGTCATTATAAGTCGGATTGACTTCAAACTTGGTATGCATGCTTCTTATAATGACTCGAAGTGCAGTGCACAAGAACCGGTACTCTGCACTTCTTAATTTTTGAATTATTGCCCTTTGTTAATTCTTATACTTTATTTTTGTGGGCAATTTCTCCTAATGTAAAAAAGTCATGGACTTGAAACTTCATAGGATGATAGATTTCATTAAGAAGTGCAGTGCACAAGAACCGGTACTCTGCACTTCTTAATTTTTGAATTATTGCCCTTTGTTAATTCTTATACTTTATTTTTGTGGGCAATTTCTCCTAATGTAAAAAAGTCATGGACTTGAAACTTCATATGATGATAGATTTCATTAAGAAGTGCAGTGCACAAGAACCGGTGCTCTGCACTTCTTATTTTTTGAGTTATTGCCCTTTGTTAATTTTCATACTTTATTTGTGTCCGGGCCATTTCTCCTAAAGTATAAAAGCTATGGACTTAAAATTTCATAGGATGATAGATTTCATTAAGAAAAAGTGGAGTGTACAAGAACTGGTACTCTGCACTTCTTATTTTTGAGTTATTACCCTTTATTAATTTTCATTCTTTATTTTCGTCCAGGCCATTTCTCATAAATTATAAAAGCTATAGACTTGAAACTTCATAGGATGATAGATCTTATGATAAGAAGTGCAGTGCATAGAAACTGCTGCTCTGCATTTCTTATTTTTTGAGTTATTGCCCTTTGTGAATTTTCATATTTCATTTTTGTGTCACCTTCAAAAGGCGACATATAGGGGTTACTTTTGTTGGCGGTGTCGGCGGCCCCTAAAGCTTGTCCGGAGCATAACTCAGTCACTATAAGTCTGATTGACTTCAAACTTGGTATGCATGCTTCTGTCAATAACCCGAAGTGCAGTGCACAAGGACCTGTACTCTGCAGTTCTTAATTTTTGAGTTATTGCCCTTTGTTAATTTCCATACTTTAATTTTGTCCGGGCCATTTCTTTTCAACTAAAAAAGCTATGGACTTGAAACTTCATAGGATGATAGATCTCATTAAGAAGAAGTGCAGTGCACAAGACAGGTACTCTGCATTTCTTATTTTTTGAGTAATTGCCCTTTGTTAATTCTCATACTTTAATTTTGTCTGGGCCATTTCTCCTTAAGTATAAAAGCTATGGACTTGAAACTTCTTAGGATGATAGATCTCATTAAGAAAAAGTGCAGTGCACAAGAATCGGTACTCTGCATATTTGATTTTTTGAGTTATGGCCCTTTGTTAATTTTCATACTTAATTTTTGTCCGGGCCATTTCTACGAAAGTATAAAAGCTATGGACTTGAAACTTCATAGGATGATAGATCTCATTAAGAAGAAGTGCAGTGCATAAGAACTGATACTCTGCATTTCTTATTTTTTGAGTTATTGCCCTTTGTTATCCCCCGCCGATGGAATCGGGAGGGGGATATAGTTTTGGCGTTGTCCGTCCATCCGTCCGTCCGAATTTCGTTTCCGGAGTAGTTCTCTGCAACTACTGGCTGGAATTCAACAAAACTTTATGGGAACCTTCAATACCAAGAGGAGATGCGCATATCATCGGCTTGTTCCGGTCAGACACTTTAACTCAGAGTTATGGCCCTTGATTAGTTATGCAGTATCCATATAGAAAAATATTTGTTTCCTCGCTACTTCTCTGCTACCACCGGCTGGAATTCAATGAAACTTTATGGGATACTAAGAGGAGATGTGCATATAGTCGCCTTGTTCCAGTCAGATACTTATAACTCAGATTTATGGCCCTTGATTAGTTATGTAGTATGCATACATCTCATTGGCATTTCCAGATTTTACTATTTAACACAAAGTTATGGCTCTGTTATTGCCCTGAATATTTATCAAGTTCAAAGAATATTACTGTTTATGCCATGATTAATATATAAATAAAGCCTTATGTCTTCAGTTGTTGTGTTAATAATAACCAGTACTCGGCGGGGGATATAAATTCAACGAATTTGCTTGTTGATTTTCTTACTTTATTTTTGTCCTGGTCATTTCTCATAAATTATAAAAGATATGGACTTGAAACTTCATAGAATGGTAGATCTTATTGATAAGAAGTGCAGTGCACAGAAATTGCTGCTCTGCACTTATTATTTTTTGAGTAATTGCCCTTTGTTAGTTTTCAGTTTCATTTTTGTCCTGACCATTTCTCCTAAACTATATTGTTCACAAGGCAACACATCCGACTTGTGGAGTTCTAGTTTGTCCTGGCCATTTCTCCTAAATTATATTGTCCACAAGGCGGCACATCCAACTCGCGGAGTTCTAGTTATCACTTAAAAATTCTTGTTAAGTTTTTGCGTGTAAGCTGGTATCTCCATAACTACTGAAGGGAATGGATTGAAACTTCACACACTTGTTCTCTGTAATTATCTAACATGATTGGCATAAGTCTGATAACTCTGATTTGCTTTTTGTAATATTTATGCCCCTTTTTTCAACTTAGGAATTCTTGGTTAAGTTTTTTTTTGTGTTAGCTGTATATGTATATCCATAACTACTGAAGGGTGTGTGCCTTTTTTTGTGACAATTTTATGCATTCATAATTATCAGACAAGCAGTGATTTACTTGATAAAACATCTTCATAACAAGCCTTTGTACCTTTTTGGGACAATTTTATGTATTCATAAAGGTATGTACACCCTTGTGACAACTTTTTTGAATTGTCGATCGTCACCATCTTCCGACAGCTAATGTTTTATTAACACTATTACACAAACTGCTAAAAGAAAACAAGAAAAAAATGAATGTCTATCTACTGTAATTTTTCTGACAGAGCAAATGAAGCAGCTTGAGAAAGTATAAATTGTTGTGAAAATAGAATGTAAACCATGTTATAAACAATTATTTATCTTAAATTCTTAGTAACAAAATATTAAAAAAACAACAAAAAAACCCGCAACAACAAAAACACACAAAACAAGAGCCAGTTGAACTGGGTGATGCTCCCTGAATAGGTTTTGGACACAGGAAGGTATATCTCTTGTAGTGTCAGTTATGTCACAGACAAAGTTCAAACTGTAAAAACAACCCAAATGTTGTGCACAACACATTGTCTCAATATGGTGGTCATTTCTGTGAAATATTTGTAAAATCCGACTTCAAATAACAAAGTTATGGGCCAGACACGATTTCGCTGCAATGTCATGCTGTGACCTTCAAGGTAGTGACCCAAATGTTGTGCGCGACATGTCGTCTCAATATGGTGATCATTTCTGGGAAATAGTTTTAAAATCCGACTTCAAATAACGAAGTTATGGGCAGGACACGATTTTGCTGTGACCTTGACCTTCAAGGTAGCGACCCAAATGTTGCGCACGACACGTCTCAATATGGTGATCATTTCTGTGAAATAAATTTAAAATCCGACTTCAAATAATGAAGTAATGGACCGGACACGATTTTGCTGCAGTGTCATGCTTAAGGTAGCCACCCAAATGTTCCGCGTGACATGTCGTCACAATATGGTGATCATTTCTGTGATATAGTTTTAAAATCCGACTTCAAATAACAAAGTTATGGGCCAGACACGAATTCGGGACCTACGGATGGACAACCTGACGACTATATGCTCCCCCGAAATTTTTCGGGGAGCATAACAAGAGGGCCATGATGGCTCTGAAATCACTCCCCTGAATATAAACTCTCCATGACAAGATACAAGTAATATTGAAATCAATAAATAAAAGCAAATATAAAATCTAAATCTAAAACTGATTTCACAAAGTTCATATTTGTATCTAAAATAGTGCATGTATAAAAACATTACTGTAGGTTTCTATTGCCAACGGAAAACAACAGCTCAAAAACATGGGGTGGGACCAATTTTGACACCAGGGCTTTTATTTGAACAAACTTGGTAAACACTCACTAGAAGATGTTTCATGCTTAATATCTAAGCTCTACCTCTTTGGTTTTTTCCAAAGAAGACTTTTTATGTTTTTACTACAGACATATAAGGAAAATCAATGACCCCCCACCTTGGGCAGGACGAATTTTGATCCCCAGGGCTTTTATTTGATCTTTGTAGACACTTACTAGACGATGATTCATGCCATATACCTAAGCTCTAGCTCTATGGGTTTTTTAAAAGAAGATTTTTTAAGTTTTTTCTTTTGGTTGCCATGGCAAGGCAACCAGAGTTCTACATGGAATTAAATTCTTTGAACAATTTTTAAATTTGACTACCAAAACATTCCAGGGCTTTTATTTGAACAAACTTTGTAGACACTCACCAGAAGATGTTTCATGCTTAATATCTAAGCTCTAGCTCTTTTTCAAAAGGTGATTTTTCAAGTTTTTACTACATGTATATACATATAAGGAAAATTAATGACCCCCCACTTGGGCAGGGACAATTTTGACCCAAGGCTTTTATTTGTACAAACTTGGTAGTCACTCACTAGAAGATGTTTTATGTCAAATATTAAAGCTCTAGCTCTTTGGGTTTTTTAAACGAAGTACTAAATACATATAAGGAAAATCAATGACCCCCTAGGGCAGGGCAAATTTTAAATCAGGGCATTTATTTGAACAAACTTCATGCTTAATATCTTAGCTCTAACTATTTTGATTTTTTAAGATTTTACTATAATCATAGAAGGAGAATTAATGACACCTTTGGGGCAGGGCCAATTTTGACCCCCAGGCTTTTATTTGAACAACCTTGGTAAAGCACTCAATGGCCCCCCAAAACAGGGCCAATTTTGACCCCAAGGTTTTTATTTGAACCAACTTGGTAAACACTCACTATAAGATGTTTCATAGCTCGAGCTCTTTTGGTTTTTTAAGTTGATTTTTTTTCTCAGTTTTTACTATATACATAAAAGACAAATAAATGACCCCGCCCCCCCTTTATTTGAACAACTTTGTAGACACTCACTAGATGTTGTTTCATGCCTAATATCAAATCTCAACGCTTTGGGTTTTTTTAAAAAAAGGTTTTTAGTTTTTACTATATACATTAAGGAAAATCAATGACATCTTGGGGTGGGGCTAATTTTCACCCCAGGACTTTTATTTGAACAAACTTTGCAAACACTCACCAAAAGAAGTTTCATGCTTAATATCTAAGCTCTAGGTGTTTTGGTTTTTTAAGTGATGATTTTTTCAGTTTTACTATATACATATAAGGAAAATAAATGATCCCCCAGGGTGGGGCCAATTTTGACCCCCAAGGCTTTTATTTGAACAAACTTGGTAGACACTCACTAGATGATGTCTCATGCCAAATATCCAAGCTCCAGCTCTAAAGAAGAGTTTTTAAGGTTTTTTCTTTTGGTTGCCATGGCAACCAGAACACATGGAACTATATTGTTTGAACAATTTTGAAAGGTGACCACCAAAGGAACATTCCTGTGAAGTTTGGATGAAATTGGCTTAGCGGTTTATGAGGAGATGTTGTTTAAAGTAAAAGTTAATGGACGCCGGACGAAATGCGATCGCAAAAGCTCACCTTGTCACTTTGTGACAGGTGAGCTAAAAACACCACAAAAAAACCCCCCAAAAAAACAAATGTAGACAGGTTGTTGTAACAGATTTGTTTTACATAAAGCCATTTATAGCAATACATAAAACTAACAAAAATGACTTTCTACACTGATTATCCTTTCAAATTTAGCTTGTTAATAATACATCTAATTAGCAAAAGTTAAATGATGCAAAAATATCCAAAATGTCTTAGCATAATGAGATGATAGAGTATCTACATTTTCAATTCAAATACATTTGTGTGTATTCTTGAATTTAAAAGCAAAGTTGAATATATCTTGAAACTATTTAAACTCATGGAACTTTAAAAAGTACTTAAAAGTTTCTTCTTAAAGAAACATTGTCTCTTACAGTAATCTGAATAAAACAATTATACCATTTCAACCTTTACTGATTCAAATGTTACTTCCAAACATAGTGTCTATTTAAAAACTGTAAATTGTGATTACTATGCCTGTATCCTGGAATAACCTTGTCAGGATTGCCTCAACCTGATCCCACTCTAGTTTATCAAGTCCACAACCAATCTTAGGCATACTTAATGCTTTAACGTTATTCGTAACACAGTGGGTCTTCATTGCTTTCAGGCTATCTTCCAGTGTCTCGTAGGTGGGTCTATCGAAGTACCTAGATTTTGTTATCAAATAATACACAAATCTTTCATCTCGCTTCAAAACTGCCACATCACCAACATCTTTAGCTGTAAGGTAATAAAAATGTACTATATAGAAAAGCTTTGACTGAATCTATACTAGACCGAGTCTATACTTGTTATAAATAAAAGTAAACATTTATGGGTAGACAGCAATAATGGCCCTAGAATTTATAATGGCATTGTGAACATTCTCTGGCAGCAACTGTGTATTACCCCTTATAAAGGCTTTCTACTGTAATAGCAGTTTTGACTTCAAACAAAACTTACATAAATGAAAATCTATGGGTTTGCTGTCATTATTAATCTGAATAACATGTAAATCAAATTGATAAAATGAAATTGGTAAAATGAAATTGGTAAGGTGAACTTTCATATCCATATAAAAACTATGACTACAGCATCTGGCATGCATAAGAAGTTACTTAGCCCTGTATGTACACAAATTATACATTTGTTTAGTAAACTATCTTATTAATAATATCTTTATAAATACTTAATTGCCACTGATATGATTGTTAGTCAGAGACATAATAATTTGTTTTCTAGCAAATCTAATGAACATTTTGTAAAAGCCAAATATACCTTGAGCTTTTAGCTCTGACAATCCCTGAAAATTCTGTTTAAACAGGGTGGCAATTCCTTTTCCCATTCGCAGGTCCTTACTAACACAGTGAGCTAAACTTTCACTGAAGTCACAGGTAAATAAATCTCCTTTTTTGTGTATGACTGAAAACTGAATAAACATAAAAAAAATTCCATAGTCCACATGAAAACATTCCAGTGTCATAATTGTGATGTCTTGATATCTGATATACTTTAACATATAAAGTTACATGTACAAGTATCATAACTGCCCATGAAAATGATACAATATGTCAACTTGAGTAAGAAATCATTACGATCTTTTACATGTAATAAATTGCATGTGGATATTCATATCATTCTTTTGTGTAGTGATAAGTGGCAATACTTATATATTATAAAATATCTGAGATCTGGACAAAAAACACCAAAAAATATTTCAAAATATTAAGAAAACAAGTGGTTGATAATAATTCCTTGACAAATAAGGGATAATCTTTTACAATATAAATATAAATAAATATTATAACTGCATATTACATCACTTTAGTAACATTAATAATTACCAGTTTCTCTGCAAGTGGCCCATTACCAATCCTACTAGTACAACTAATTAAACTTGTCAAAAAAACATTGAGATAATTTTGGACCGGTAATTCTTTTTCCAGTGGTCTGACAGTAAGTGAAACAGTTTGTAAAATTTGTCAAACCATTTACGCTAGCCATGGAGAAATAACTAGGAGGATCAAACCAGTATCCCCTGCTTTAAATGCCCAATGTCCATGTAATCCAATAAGACAATATAAAAAGGCATTGCCTTAGAATTGTGACTTACACTTGTGTCTCCATCATTTTTGTTTGAGCTGTTCTCATTTTCATCTTCACAGGCTGCCATTTTGAAATCCTTAAAATACATAAATAGATCATATAATACATATTAACGACAAACCCCAATTTTAAAAAAAAATATATTAACAACAGTCCTGTTGTTATTTATAAAGCTAAAAATATATGTAAACAAAGAACCATTTCAAAATGTTATTCAGTAGAGTTCTAAGCCTGAAATCACAGATACATATATACATCACTGTACATAGCTTAAGGTCTTCAGCGTACCCGTTTATATATATGACATGACGTGAACGCCGCATCTGATGAAAAACAAAAATGTTAAAAAGCGGCTTATAAAGTTTTGGAAGCCAGAACTACACTGTACATGTAGATTATAATTATAACCAAATCAACCAAACAATGATAGATCTAATTAATATATCAGCCAAAATATTTCATAAATAATAGGGCACCCAATTCAGAATTTCAAACTTATAAAAAGTTCTTTAACAACTAGGTTAGACCGTCAATAGATATTTTAAAATGAACAGCGTTTACCACAAGTTTACACAAGTCTACTTTCGTTTTTGTATTCATTGTGCGAAGCAGAATGAATACAGAGTTATAAGTACAATCTCAAAAAAAGGTAGGCAGAGTGGATTTGCTGAACAGCATCCATCCGCTTATACGTCCGTGACATAAAGTAGTTCATGATTTGCACTTAAATCGCTTTAAGCATACGCTAAGCGATGACTTATCCGTCCCAATGTTGCAAAAAATTATGTTAAAGTTTTTTCTACCCGAAAATCATGCACTTTATTCATGTTTGACATCTAAAAACATCGATAAAAATTTCCTGTATTTCTACGCTACAAATTATTATTAACGCATGCGCAGACTCACAATAATTTATCGAAGAGAACAACACGTAAGAGAAATTGCTCAGGAAAGAATCAACAACCATCGCACATATTGTAAGTAAATATATTTGAGTTATTGTTTTTTTTTCATTGATTATCACTTTATATATTTATTCATTACATAACTTGACGAGTATTTTACGGGAAATTTGAATAAACGGCCAAGTTTCAAAAACACTTTGATTGACTCGGCCGCTCGTCATTTTGTCATTTACGTAATTTTCCCTATAATTCGAAATGAAAGTGTTAGAATGTTTCGATTTGAGACCAACTTATCCACTGATTTTGATCATTGTCATGTTTTTTTGTTGTTTACTCGTGTGTCACGTAACTTGGTCATAACATAAACACAAACACGAGATTGACCCACTTTTGAGAATTGGCCCATTGTTGACAGTAGCGTGAAAGGCGTTTGTTATTATCTATTTCATCACTTTCTTTTCGTTAGAAAATGTGGTTAATGAGCTGCTTTTTAGAGTTTTGTATTTGGTTGTGAAATATTAACAAATTTCATTATGTAAGGTTCGCGTCATAAACATGACTCATACCGGAAGTTCCTTTGTTTGTTTACGACCGGAAGTCGCTTATGTTCAAAAATTAAATAAGAATCAAAATTACATGAAGGATTTAAAGTTAGATTGATGTGGTAAATGCTGTATAATATTTATTTCCAGGTTGACTGTAACCTTTTTGTCGTGGGTATTGTAGCGGATATTCCTTGTGACGTAAGTAAATCTATATACTGGTAACAATAATTTTTTATTATGAAAATGGCAGAGGCAGTCGGTGTGTGGTTTTGATACATAAAATGATCATGATATCTGCCACTTGCTTGATGCCTAAGTTTAAGTTCAATTTGTTTTATCAACATGTATATTGTTGTATCTAAGCTAGGACAGTCGTCTGTGGTTTATATTAGTAGAGGTGATTCAGCCATCTTTGTTTTTTACTAACTGGGTCTTGCTAAAGTGAAAGTATGCCAAAATTCATACAAGTTTAGATTACCAATATCTACATCATACTGCTTTAAAATTGTTAACGATTACTTTAAGTATACATTAAAGAGCCAGCTATGAAATACAAGGGAATCCAGGAACCAGTATTTAGCTTTTATTGAATAGACCCCTTTGTTCATTTACATGTCTGGATTTCTGAGTACAGCTCTAGGTAGGTTGGAAACATTAAAAGTGTCTCTAAACAATCCCAAGGGTGTAACCCTATATTAAATCCAGGATCTCGGGAGTGATAATCCTTCACTTCCTAGGGCAACTCTAAAAGAATCCAAATATAGAAGCTACTGCTGTGGTCAATTTAGCAGAAAGTGAGAAATGTACAGAAGGGAGGTAACTCCTGTACCAGAAATTATTGATAAAATTAATATGGCAGATAATCATCGTATGCATTCGCCCTTTAAATATTTTTCTTATTTAAACAAGTAAAATGGTTTTGGATGGTTTTGAAAATGAAATCTCTAAATTGATATTTTCAGGGAAATAAAAGATTATTTACTTTAATATTCACTTGGAAAGGCTGGTACATGTAGCTAGAAAAAGTACAGTATAAGATTAAAGAAAGACTAGAAGATTATTACAAACAACAGGTACTTATATAATATTTAATGTATATTTCACAAACCAAACTGTTTTCCAAAAAAAATGAATGAAAACATGCATTTTTACCAGTGTCACCACGGGTCAGATTAACAGACCCATTCCCAGTGGCAAATAATACCAAATATGCTTTTTTTCTTTTCCAAGTTTAGAAAAAAATCATAAGTCAAAATTCCGTTATCAAAGGTGACAATTTTTCTTCATTCCATTTCAATCCAATATGGTACCAGACAGATGATGTTCAAAAACACATTCCATTGTCAATTTTTTATGTATTTTTTATGCTTTGAATGATATACAATTTGTTGGATTAACAACTTTGTACATGGTACTAAATATTTTTCCCAATCAAGATGCAAAATTTCTTAACCCATTACTTCATGAGCATTTTGTGAAAATGGCTGTTTCCATTGAAAAGTCTCCCGTTACAAGTTCAAATTGCTATAATACTATAAAAACTGCTTCAACACTAATCAAACTTGGCACAAATGTTGACTGGACCATTGCCCTTGCAACAACATGCTCAGGCTTAAATTTTCTGTTCCCATGGCAACGAGGGGACATCTCAAAATTGCCCAAAATCACTACTTTGCCTCGATTTTTTCAGTCAAAATTGATTTCAAAGTGATGCCACTTCTCAATGGATTGAGATATAGTCAAATGCTTTTCAGCGTTGGTTACACGTTACCTTATGATCAATCTGGGGTCATTTACAGCCTCTCACAAGTCCAAAATTTTCTTGGCATCATGCTTAGAATGGTTTCACTCAGGTCAGTAAGACCGGTGTACACAATGTACTGTCTGCACATATGTGTCAGAAAAAATATCACAAAAAAGGAATTTAGTATTACTATGAGTATTTATTAAAGAAATTGTATTTCAAATATATTTAAATAGTATTATTGAAAGTCATTTTGTATGACAGACACACAAATCTAGTGCTCTGCATTATAAATGTAAGAAGAGACAAATAAGATAAGCATTTTTTTGCAAATTATTGCACTTCATATAATTTTTATTGCTTTTTTTTAAGGTGGACATGTGTCACTGTCAAGCGAATGAAGATAAGCATCACACTCGGTGGGAATCTCCAGTTTCCAGATGTAGTGATCATAACTGTATAGGCACCATTAACACTTTGGACTAGTTGGAGTATTTTAGAGGGCTAGTCTGAATTGAATCCCCTGTCAATAGTCAAGGCCAGTCATGAACATTGTGTTGAAGGAAAATGTTAAAACTCGGATTTTCCGCTTAACCAATCATTACTTTACCTTATATTCAGTGCGGTAATGTAGGAAATGGTTACTTTCTGGAACAGAGCTGTCAATTATTTTTAATTTATTAGCTTGTTAGTGTTATCGTCAGACAGTTGTGAAGTAAAAACATCATAGTTTGACTGTATACAAGTTGCCTTAAAGAAAGTATGTCGAAATCTTAACAGTTATTCGTTGATTTTGTAGAAATTGACTAGAATTCACCTTTGTTAACATGCATCGCTTGGACGTCGAAAACGACATGCAATGACATTTCAGTGAAATTTGGAAACTTGCTCGTATTTTGGAGCATTTTGTAGGATTTCGATGAAGTAAAAAGTGTTTATGATAGGATACATTATTCCTAGAGACAACCATAAAGATAAAAAAGTGATCTGGTGTATTTTTACCGAACAGTTCTTGTTTGTTTTGCATGATATTTTTCTCTCGTTAGGGACCTTTATTCTTTATATATAGTATTATGAGCATATATATGGGTAAATGTGGTATATAGTGCCTGTGGTTTTAACATGTATCTTAGCTTGCCTGGTGTAATGATAAGTAATAAACCTGAGAATTGAAACTATGAGAATAAATTGTTGTTATTTAGTCCCCTTCTATTTTCATTAAGAGGGGACTAAAGGCTGACCCATTTCTGTATGTCAATGAAAGCTGAAAGCTGAATTTTGCTATAACTTAAATGGTACAAAAGTAAGGTTCATCATACTGGTATCTGATATAGAACTATACAGAGATTTAGCATGTTATTATAATTTATGCTCCTATGATTCTGGATAAATATCTGTGTTCATTCCATACAGACTTGTACTTTTGGGGAAAAAGGTTGCTCATGGAGGAAAATATGTTTTTAATGGTGTTTTTGAGATTTTAGTTGATAAAGGAAAAAAAAACATAGTCTGTACTTAGGAAGACATTTGTCCTTCACACTCTTGTCCGAAATATGAATATAACTAGATATGTATTGAAGGGATTTTATGTAAACTTCACAAAGTGATAGAGACTTTTAAGAGGAAGTGCAATGTTCAAGAAACATAACTCTACCTTGCTTCATGTTTTAATTATATCCCTTAAGTTAAAAATGCTTATTCCAAACTATCACTGAATCTACATCAACTTGAACGACTCGAATTTTCCAATGTGTCAAAGAACCATAACTCCATTCCTTAGTTTTTAGCTCACCTGTCACAAAGTGACAGGTCAAGCTTTTGTGATCCCTTTTCGTCCGGCCGTAAACTTTTACTTTAAATGACATCTGCTCATAAACCACTACGCTAATTTCATCCAAACTTCACAAGAATGTTCCTTTGGCTGTCACCTTTAAAAATTGTGCAAAGAATTTAATTCCATGCAGAACTCTGGTTGCAATGGGAACCGAAAGAAAAAAACTTTAAATATCATCTTTAAAAAAACCCTAAGAGCTAGAGCTTAGATATTTGGCTTGAAACATCCTTTAGTGAGTGTCTACCAAGTTTTTTAAATAAAAGCCCTGGGGTCAAAATTGGCCCCGCCCCAGGGGTCTTTGTTTTTCCCTATGTGCATATAGTAAAAACTTTATAAAATCTCCTTTTAAAGAACCCAAAGAGCTAGAGCTAAGATATTAAGCATGAAACATCATCTAATGAGTGTTTACCAAGTTTGTTCAAATAAAAGGCCCGGGGTCAAAATTGGTCCTGCCCCAGGGGGTCATTAATTTTCTTTAAATGCATATAGTAAAAACTTAAAAAAATCTTCTTTTAAGAAACTAAAAGAGCTAGAGTTAAGATATTTAGCATGAAATATCTTCTAGTGAGTGTTTACAAAGATTGTTAAAATAAAAGCCCTGGGGTCAAAATTGGTCCTGCCCCAGGGAGTCATTAATTTTCTTTAAATGCAAATAGTAAAAACTTAAAAATCTTCTTTTAAAGAACCCAAAGAGCTAGAGCTAAGATATTTAGCATGAACATCTTCTAATGAGTGTCTACCAAGTTTGTTCAAATAAAAGCCCCGGGTCAAAATTGGCCCTGCCCCAGGGGATCATTGATTTTCCCTATATGCATATAGTAAAAACTTCAAAAATCTTTTTTAAAGAACCCAAAAAGCTTGAGTTTTTATTATAAGTTGAAACATCTTCTAGTGAGTGTCTACAAAGTTTGTTCAAATAAAAGCCCTGGGGTCAAAACTGGCCCTGCTCCAGGGTTGTCATTGTTTTTTAACAGTATATGTTAGTAAAAACTTAAAAAATCTTCTTTAAAAAAAACCCAATAAACTAGAGCTTTGATGTTTAGCATGAATCATCTTCTTATGGATGTCTTCCAAGTTTGTTCAAATAAAAGCCCTTGGGTTAAAACTGGCCCTGCAGGGTGGGGGGGGGGGTGCTTTTTATGAATGGAATCAAGAGAGATGAAGTCTAAAATGTGATACTGTCAATGTGACTAACCTTGAAGTAAACAGATGACACAATGTTTTTCAATGTCATGGGCATATAATGAAGAGGTACATGATTATTTGTATACACTTTTCCTTAATAAATACTTTCTAAATGTTTGACATGTTTAAAGGCCAACACAGGGCTCAAGGTTTATTTAAAATCTGTAAGCTTGGCACTTAGAGCCAATTGTATATTAATTATTTCAATATCTTTATTTATCATTATGCAATCTGTTGTTAATTTAGGAACAAAAGTCGATAGCAAAAACATTTTAGCCGTGTCATGACGAAACCAACATAATGGGCATCCGCCCAGTCTGATCAGGATCCATACTGTTCGCTATCAGTTTCTCTACTTGTAATAAGGTTTGTAAGCGAACAGCATGGATCCTGATCAGACTAACCTGGTCTGGATCCATGCTGGTCGCAAACCCATTATGTTGGTTTTGTCATGACACGGCTCATTTGTGACATGTAATTCACTTAAATTGTATTTTATTTTGTATATATATTTCATCTTCAAAACAATTAAAGTAATGATTATAATAGCATTGATTTCATATTTGTTTGTCTTAATAATTAGCTTTGTTTTAAAATATAACAGTGTAGTTTTTATTGTTGGTTTATCTTGTTTAAGATTTGTTTAAACCGATTACCAATCAGTCTATATAATAATTGGAAAGACAGAATATTGCTTGTTTTAGAGTGATATGCTTAATGAATATTCAGCAATAAGTATTTACTGTATAATTACCACTCTGACCTAGGGTAAACAAGATAAGCTGTCATAAAGATGTAAATTTTGTTTAATTTAAGAATTCTATTTATGTTGCTGTTAAAATGCATATGATACAATTTTATTCCTGTTTTCTGTATATACACAGTTTTAAGTAATTTATGCTTTGAAATGTCAAAAAATGCAGATACTTTTGTTAAATAAGTCAAATAATAAAAAGAATCAGTTGATAAAAAACAAGGCCTGATGAAAACCAAAGGCCTGATGACATTTTCTAAAACCATTTCATTAATAATTTTATCGATAACATTTTTTTAAAGTGTTGTATATATATTTATTTGTTTCAATTCTATAAAGTTTAGTTCTCTTGTTTTTTGTTAATAAAGTTATTTATTGAATGATTTGTTATTGTAATTTGAACCTACAAGCCAATCAGGTTTAGAAAACATTGCTGAACGACAGACTTCCAGGGTTGACTGAGGTTGATCCAGCTCGCAATTAGCTTAAAATAGTTTTCATTTACTATCAGTTCCGTCAGATCTGTAAACACAATGAATACCCCAGTACTTTCAGTACTTTGATTACAAATTGCTCTGTCACAATTTCGCGCAATTTCTTGACTTTGCGCAACTCTTCTATTTGAAGAGTATTCTAAAAAGCAATCGGAATACCTCGGCGATTATAAAAGGGCCGAGACATTGTATACGCACCGGTCTCAAATATCGACAGTAAGACCGGTGTACACAATGGGGCCGAGAAGAGGCCTCAGACCACAATTAATTTCACTATATGTTCTATATAAACATTAAACCCTGTGGCAGTATTACTAACTCTCCAATCAAATCAAAGTCACTTGTGCTTACAGTACCATCCAAGATAAATAATTCTAGCTATAGCAAACTAGGGGTCATTCATCATTTTTCCACAGCATTTCAGTTCAAAATACATCAGTCTGACAGTTTTCAGTAATTAGCCGGAACCATGTGAGTTCTGTCATGTAGAAAAACACTAAAAAAATACTTACTCGCATAAAATCTGGATCAAAATTGGCATTTACCAACTATTTGAAATGAATTCTGTCAGGAAATGGCCTTTTTTTCTATCTCTTTCATTCAATTATTCATTTATATCTGGCATTAAACACAGGCACTCTTTTATGCGGATTTACTTCCTTATTGTGGTCAACGAAAGGCAAATAACTGTGGACTGATTCCAAGATGCGATTGTCTTAATAGAGGCGACCAGAGTCCTTAAATAAAGTTTCCTTTTAAAAGGAAAGGCTTGCACAGTTGTGCCTTATCCCAACCCTTTAAAAAAAATTTTTTTTTTTTGGTTTCAATTTATTATCACATTTTTTTTTGAATTACGGTATTTGTATATATTATAAAGGGTTTATTTAGTTGTTTTTTTTTTTTTTTTTTTTTTTTTGGAAAAAACGATTTTTTTTTGGATTTTTTTTTGTCAAAACGATTTGAAATCTATACTAATAAAGAAAATGATCAATCGTAAAACGTGGAGATTTATCTATCATACTGAAGGGAAACAAGTGTGCACATTTCATTTCCCCTTTTTCGCAGTGAAATCATTCGTTTGCTTTATAGACAAGTAAATGCACTAAAATACTTCGTTACGTGGTACCAATTAGTAAGCATGTATCAACTATCTTACACGATCACAAATACGATGCGCTATCTGTAGATCAGCACGTGGCAAGGTTAATGATATGCATGGGCTATTTTTAGATTACCTCACCAAGAAGTTGAATTGCGTTCAGTAGATCTAAATATAACTCGATCATGCAGGATTACCCTTTGAAGACGGAATACTACTACAGTGACCATTCTCTATTGTATATAACTAGTATACAGAAAAATAAAATAATTATAAAAGAAACTAACTTTTGCGTCTTGAAAAACAATTGAAACGGAACAATTTCGTTTATAATTTATTACAGTTTAAACCGATAAATCGAGTAAAAATAGAAATCCTATTTATATAAACAAACTGGGATTACCGAAGTAACTAAAATAGCTTAGATTTCCGTAAAATTACTTCGTCTGATTCCGCAGTATGACGGAATCGCCCGAATTGTCACGATTGCAATCGGAACTACATCGGCTATTATCATTAATCCGAAGAGTGACGGAAAAGGCCAGAAAGGTGCGATTGGCACGATTGCAGCTGGTTTCCCGTTCAATCATGCACCAACAGATGTAAGCAGGAAACCACCTAACCGGAACAAGTTTTCCAAATGAAATGGCTTGCAGCCACGGCTGCAAGCCAAAAATAATTATAGAATAAATGAAATTATAGCCTGGAACCCCGTTGTCTCGATCTATTAACCCATAAATCACAGCTGCATTTAAAAAAATTCAAATGTCCCTGAATATTTATTTTGTATCATTTATTTTGATCCTTTTGCCATAATATTTACATGGCAAACATCACTGATATATAGTTTTTAGCTTATTTACAGACATGTCAAACTGGCAATCGCAACTACTCGGCCCTTTCCGTCAGTCTTCGTATAAGGATAATATTATAGGTAATAGCCGAGGCAGTTCCGAATGGTCAAACTGGTTGTTTAATTAGGTCACGCCATTATATCATCACCCAGTTAGCCAAAGTTTGGGAAGCCTTAACCATATTTATGTTAGATATTTAAGTCAATTAGAATCAAAGATGTCTGTTTTAAAATGTCAGCATAAATTTAGGAACTTTTAACAGACAACAAATGTACTTTTAATAAGAACCATTATTTATAAGTCTATTTATTATCTACAACGTCAAGTACGGTACTGGAAACATGTTTTTGATCATTTTACTGCACAAAAATAAATGCGAAAGATTTTCGTGACACTGTTGTAAATGTTAACTAAAGATTTGTAAATACAATGAATAGCACGATACAATGGGGTTCCACTATACACATTTACAGTGTATTACATTCTTTTCGGCAGGTACGTATATTAATTAATATACGTACCTGCTTTTCGGTGGTTTATAGAAATATATCAGTGATATAAAACTGGTAATTTCACTGTTTGAAACAGTGAAATTACCACTTTGATAATTTCACTGTTTTGAATTTAAGCCCCTTACGTTGTTTCAGTGAAATACCAGCGCGCACAGTACTGGGTACCAACTTAATGACGTGACGTCGTAAATGACGTCACGTTGTGTTATTATTTGGCGCGCTTTTCATTCAGTATTAGGTTTAATGTCTTTTTAAAACGTTTCTTTGCATATAATAAAAAGAAAATTTGTTTAGTTTAGTGTAAGATCGAAATATTTCACCTTGTGAACACCAAAAGTTCATATTTCACTCGTGGCTGCGCCAGTCGTGAAATATACCTTTTGGTGCTCACTCGGTGAAATATATTCCGATCTTACACTGAACTAAACAAATATCCTCTATATATCAGTGATATAAAATTGGTAATTTCACTGTTTGAAACAGTGAAATTACCACTTTGATAATTTCACTACTTTGAATTTAGGCCCCTTACGTTGTTTCAGTGAAATACCAGCGTGCACCGTACTGGGTACCAACTTAATGACGTGACGTCGTAAATTACGTCACGTACGTTGTATTATTATTTGGCGCGCTTTTCATTCAGTATTGGGTTTTATGTCTTTTTAAAACGTTTCTTTGCATGTAATAAAAAGAAAATTTGTTTAGTTTAGCGTAAGATCGAAATATATTTCACCTTGTGAACACCAAAAGTTCATATTTCACTCGTGGCTGCTTAGTTATAAGTATGTTATTTACAAAATTTAACACAACGCTTACAAATTTATAAGGCCATGTCAAATTTGTTTCTTGTGCACCAGTTATATAACATGATACATTTTTACATGAAATATATATCATTTTAAAAGATGTATCATAATTTATGCATTCATTCATGTACAGAATACTGAAAAAATAATGATTTGAAGGCCTACTGCCCACGTAATTAATGTACAATCTTGTAATAATCTCTTTATTACATGAAAGTCCAAATGTGTTCCAGTTATAATCGTTGTTCTGTTTCATGTCCATAAAACATAGCACGTTTGTAAAACAAACAATGTTCCAAGTGACATTAAAAGATACAGCAATCATTTACATTTCTCCCTGTACTCGTCAGCGGGTGTTGGCGGTGAGCGCTCTTTAACAAGTTGAGGTTTGTCCTTGTTTGGGGTAGTATAAGAAAGAATATTTTCCCCCATAGACTTCTGTAATATAGAGCAACGACCTATTCCCGATGATGCTAATGGAGATGTTGATATTGTTGCCCCCGGTTTTGGGCCTTGCGCTTGAACGGCGGAACTAGAGCTTTTAACATGTACTTCAGAGATGCATGTAGAGTCGCTGGATTGCTCGGAACCAGTTTCAGAATCGGCGTCGGGTTCTGATTCTATGGCGTTATTATAAAGACAATCCGAAGCTTTGTGTCCAGGCCGATTGCAGGTTCTACACACCCAGTCATTTGGGCAGCTGGAGAAAGTATGTCCGTCTAATAAACACTTGCTGCATTTGCGCGGCCTTTTTTCGTTACTCGGCTCTCCAGACTGACCGGCATGAATCACGTGCGCTGAGTATTTACCGAAGTCGGTGAATTTTGCAAGGGGTGTCTTGAGGGATAGAGCAGATACTGTGACAATCCTGTCACCGTTTTCAGTTATAGTAAGATTCCCGTTTACGGTTAGTCTCTCACGATACATGGATATGACTTCGATCCCTTTTAGCGTCAAGTTGTGTTTTATCACTTCTTCGTCGTCTATCGTCAACGGAATGTTTTTTATTCTTATCCGCACGGTACGTTCTCCGTCTGTTAAAATTTTTAACCAGTCAAATTCCGTTATATAAGCAGCAAATCATCCATTCCATGTATATTTACAGTAAATACAGTACATAATAACATATTTATGCATGAAGAAGTACTTCTTTGTAGATTATGTCAACTGTATTCATATGAATTAAAATGGACATACACTCTAAATCTCAGTGTTTTGATTCCAAACACATGTGAAAACACCTATCTGTAACAGTTTTAAAACATGTTGCGGTGTTTTCACAAAACACTGATGTTTCACACTAAAACACGGGTGTTTTCCTAGAAAACGTGTTTAGGTGTTTTGTCTGAAAACACCTAACACGTGTTTTGGGACTGTAACAGATTTAAAACACGTTTACACGTTTTAATAGTTTCCATGTTTTATTTCAAAACACGATCAACCAAAAAATGTGAACAATGACACATAAACATATTATACACATTTTAATAACATTTTGAAATTTAGGTTAAATACTAATTGTTCTTCATTACTGCACATAAATGTTAAATAGATCAAGACACCCTACCATTATCATAATAGTATTTTTGGTATACTAAAATTAATATTGCATGCCTGACAGAGTGACAGTAAAGTTAACAACTTTTGGAAAAACACTGTCAACTGAGGTAGCATTTTCTACAGGTGGCAATTTTACTGTCACCTTGTCAGCCATGTTACAATCCAATGCAATATACCCGAAATTCTGGTGTTACCAATCACAAAATTAAAAAGAGCATTTTCATTTTCAAACTTCAAACAATTAAAAACAAGGCAGTCTGAAGGACATCTATATCCCCTTCGCAGTGGACAGGAATCTGTACTTCTTGACCTTTAACAAACCATGTCTTTTAGAGAAAAACCTGGCTGTTGTGCCATGGTCGTGATTATTTATGCTAAAATATTTAAAATCTTCCATGTCAAAAAGTTATAAACAAGAATATTTGACCTCTACCTGTGACCTTTGGGGCAGTGACCTGATTGTTGCGCTCTGCACATCCTATTATAATGGTGATCATTTGTGCCAAGTTATTTTAAAAACTTTTCAGCAGATTAAGTTATTTAGGGGACACAAAAAGTGGACCATTAACATTTGACTTTTAAGTGTGACCTTGACCTTGGAGGTAGTGACCTTGTTGTTGTGCTTTGCTCATCATGATATAAAGGTGATAATTTGTGCCAAGTTATGTTAAAAACTTTTCATCAGTTGAAGTTATGGAGCGGACACAAAAGGTAGACTTTTTAACCTATGACCTTAAGTTGTGACCTTAGGGGTAGCGACCCGATTATTGCGCTCTGCACATCGTCTCATACTGACCGTTTGTGCCAAGTTATTTCAAAAAATTTTCACAGTTTAAAAAAGTTATGGAGTGGACATGGAAGACAGACTGAGGCCATTCCTGTAATCCCCTCCCCTCTATGCAGAAGGGGATTAAAAATGAATGTATAAAATAAATACATAAAACAGATTACAGTTATATTTAGGCAAACAATTAAGTAAATAAATAGATAGACAATTAAACAACAAAAGCAAATTGATATATGGATATCAGTAGAATTTCAGGTAAAATGAAAACATATATAAAATGGATTTAAATTTTTACACAGTAAAGCCTACCTCCCTATAAAATGTAAAAAACCCGGTTTTTGGCACATATATGTATCATATTTGGGTTGGAAAAAAACAAACAGTATTTTCAGACAGTGTCAAAAATCGGTCATTCAATGTTGACTGTCCGGGGGGGGGGGGGGGGGGGGGGAGTCAAAAGTCTGTGCACTAGTGCTCTATTTTTCATCAGTAACAGTATATATCCTGATGGTTCATAAATATCTTTTGTTGTGGTGCGCTTAAGGCTTAGACAAACAAGAGCACCGCTAGGCGGAGCATTATATGCCCGAAAGTGTTTTTTTTTTAGTAAGGATGAAGCATTTGTAAGACATGGGAATTAGCTGTTCATCCTATAAAATTTTACAGATGTAGGTTGATTAATACTTAAGTTATTAATAATGACCTTAACCTTTGACCTTGTGACCCTAAAATCAATAGGGGTCTTCTACCTTATATGGACAATCATCCTAAGGAGTTTGAATATTGTGGGCCAAATGGAACTTCAGTTATGCTCCGGAAACTGTTTTCAATTTTAAGGTGACCTTTGACCTTTTGACCCCAAAATCAATAGAGGTCTTCCACCCAATATGGACAATCATCCAATGAAGTTTGAACATTGTTGGTCAAATGGAACTTAAGTTATGGCTTCGGAAACTGTTTTCAGTATAAAGGTAAAAGTGACCTTGACCTTTGCCCTTTTGACCCCAAAATCAATAGGGGTCTTCTACCCAATATGGACAATCATCCTATGAAGTTTGAACATTGTGGGCCAAATGGAACTTAAGTTATGCTCCGGAAACCAAATTGCTAACGGACAAATTGCTAACGGACGGAAACTGTTTTCAGTATCAAGGTAATAGTGACCTTGACCTTTGGACCCCAAAATCAATAGGGTGTCTTCTACCCAATATGGACAATCATCCTATGAAGTTTGAACATTGTGGGTCAAATGGAACTTAAGTTATGCTCCGGAAACTGTTTTTAGTTTTAAGGTAATAGTGACCTTGACCTTTGACCTTTTGACCCCAAAATCAATAGGGGTCTTCTACCCAATATGGACAATCATCCTATGAAGTTTGAACATTGTGGGCCAAACGGAACTTAAGTTATGCTCCGGAAACCAAATTGCTAACGGACAAATTGCTAACGGACGGAAACTGTTTTCAGTATCAAGGTAATAGTGACCTTGACCTTTTGACCCCAAAATCAATAGGGGTCTTCTACCTAATATGGACAATAATCCTATGAAGTTTGAGCATTGTGGGTCAAATAGAACTTAAGTTATGCTCCGGAAACTGTTTTCAGTTTTAAGGTAATAGTGACATTGACCTTTGACCTTTTGACCCCAAAATCAATAGGGGTCTTCTACCCAACAAGGACAATCATCCTATGAAGTTTGAACTTTGTGGGCCAAATGGAACTTAAGTTATGCTCCGGAAACCAAATTGCTAACGGACGGAAACTGTTTTCAGTATCAAGGTAATAGTGACCTTGACCTTTGACCTTTTGACCCCAAAATCAATAGGGATCTTCTACCTAATATGGACAATCATCCTATGAAGTTTGAACATTGTGGGCCAAATGGAACTTAAGTTATGCTCCGGAAACCAAATTGCTAACGGACAAATTGCTAACGGACAGAAACTGTTTTCAGTATCAAGGTTATAGTGACCTTGACCTTTGACCCCAAAATCAATAGGGATCTTCTACCCAATATGGACAATCATCCTATGAAGTTTGAACATTGTGGGTCAAATGGAACTTAAGTTATGCTCCGGAAACCAAATTGCTAACAGACGGACGGACGGACGGACAGACGCCAGGGGGTATAACATAATATGCCCTTTCGGGCATATAAAAAAAATGGTACACTTTAGCACTCTAAAATGTTACAATGCAACTTTATACAATATTTTGATAAATCATTTCTTTGACTCCGAAAACACCAAAAATTTAAATGCACAACAAAGGTGCCTGATCAGTGAAAACTAGTGATCTCTGTAAATAATTCTGCTTACCACTTGAAATCAGTAAATGAAAATTTAATAAATCTGATATCTGATATGATAATGAAGTGAGCATGTGTTAAAGTTAGACAGTAATACATCAACAAAATACAAACTTATTTAAGACATCAATGCAATATATTAAACTTACTATAGCATGTACAAAATAAGAGCATATTAACATTTGCAAACAACAAATAGCACTAATACTTCTTAACTGTAATAAACAATTTTATAATATATGGCATTTTAATGCTTCATTGACATAAAAAGTGTCACAGTCTGCAATAACATACTGATGTCATAAATAATAAAATTAGTGTTTAAACACTGCATTATTAAGTCAATCTTTTCTGCTAGTGAATAATAATTTGATAAATCACTGGATTTAAAAGTTCCTAAAAAGAAGCATAGTCTTAGCTGTTTTGAAAAATATTGACACTTGACATTTGCTATTTGAAATAGAGCCAAAATATACAGCTTCATGTTCAGACATCAAGAGGATTTCAATGTCTGATTAAGGAAGCCTGGAAGGGGAGGGATTGCACCATCTATGCAGCAAAAATAAAGGCACTGATCAGCTGATGGTTACCACACAGCTATTCTGCACCTTTGTTTTTGTAAGTGCAAAAAAAGCAGGTTTTTTCATGGTAAAATGTAAGCTGTTAAGAAGTCAATAATATGTCCATGACACAGAAGGTTGAATTTAATTTAAAATGTTGGTTCTATTTGTTCATTAGTTTTTCCAATTGTTCCACAAAGTGTAAATACCCAGCCGACTTGTGACTAAAAAAGGCTTGTTTAAATACTGTTTGTTGCATGAATCCAAGGAGTTGTGAAAAGCAGTGGGATTTTCTAGATCCATTATATAATACCAGCTTATCAATAAGAATAGCCCTTCCATGAGGCTATCTGTCTCAAGTGGTATCTTGCACTGGTCTCCAACAATATACTGTTTGTCCAGTTCTATGTTGTTAAAAATAAAAACAAGGCTTCACTTGGAGGAGTATTAGGCTGTGATGACAGGACCTTTAACAGATTAGCTTCTTCAATATCCTGCAAAATGAACATGGAACAAAACAATGAATGAGTACCATCCTTCATAACAGGATCAGGGAAATCTTCTACCTTAAGCATTTCCAACCAGCACATAATGAAGTGTTAGTTAATGTCTGCTTCTGGAGCAGTAGGTCAGAAATTCGATCTTCTGCCATGCCATGCTGAGCAGGGCCAACATTCGTCTATTTTATATAGTGACAAGACAGGCAAAAAATGAGATACCATGTTTGACAAAGAGGCCTATCTATAGAGATACTTATCATATACTTAAATAAGTTTACAAGTCAATCCATTTAATATGCTATTTTGACAAAATTGTAAGTTGAAAAGGGGCATAACTCCAAAATATAGTTTTAAGAATAACTCCCCCTGTCTGAACAGTGTGTCTTGTAATGTAAAGCAAATATAAAATGAATTTATCAAAGTCTTGTGCTGATACCTTTGATAGTTTTGACATTAATTCATTTAATAAATTTCAGAATTTTGTCCCTTGTCAGTTACAAATGTGTCTTGTCATGATTAGCGGCTGCAAGTATTCAAGTTAAAATTAAATTCAGTGGTATTATACAAAACTGACAAAAAAAATTCCGGTAAATTTACTATACCTTATGTAGAACTACAATTTATCTAGTCTTGCACCCCTTTCCATGTTTGAATCCTGTATTACTTTCTATGGCTCTTATAACGTCCAAATCATCTTTGCACTGCAACAGAAATCAGTAATTCTAAGTAAACAGAAACGCACACAATCAGATCCTAAACACAGCTTTCAATTATGAATATGACAAAATGAACACAATTTTTAACAATTTTAACCATATTTGCATTAAAAGTGACAAAAGCACTGTAAAAACAAACATCAGCCACAAAACAAGATTATGCCATGTTGGATTTCCTGCAATATATCTCAGGATAAAGTCGCAATTTTTTTAAGTCCAGTCAGACAATGTATTTCAAAGCACATTAAAATTAAAAATTACATATTTTGTATTAAAAATCAGATATTTTATATCTAAAAAAAACAACAACAACAAATAATCATTGTCAGAACTATTTGATTAATGTACAGGTGCAGAAGCATAATCAACTTCTGACTGGGTCTCCTAGGTTCAACACAACCTTGTTATAACATGGTAGTTTGAATCCTTTATATAGACCATGTTAGTTAACCACATTATATCCAAACAAAAAAGTATTTATTATATATTTAAAAAAAATATGGAATTTTTCTTTCTATTCTATACCTTTTGTGAATACAATTTTTACCCTCTTTTAAACATTATTATATCTTAAGCCGCATTATAACAAGGCTGTGCTGTATGCATAGTAAGATTGCAATGATATCTTTTAAATTCTTTTTCCTTTTTCCATAAGGTTGCCTGCCCTAACAGTAATCTTAACTCATACCTCTTTTCCTCCAGGTTTAAGTGTAGCTACTGCTTCAAACAATATCTCTAGATTGTCAACAAATGGTTGGATGTGGCCTACTGCAAGAATTAATTTAATTTCCAACAACATCTGAAAAAAAAAGAAAAACAATTATTATAATTAGCTTATTTGATAATCATATGATAATTAAAAAAGGAAATGTAGCAAAACAGCGTAGATCACAATATTGCATTTTCCAATGTTCAAATTTAAGTTCTGTTATCAGCTTAATTGTTCCGTTCTCAGAAATATTGTTGGAGTTTAACACCTGTTTCAATAGTATTTCAGTTATATTGCAGACATTTTTGCCAAGAAATATTATACTATATATCAGATTTTAATAGTCAACTGATAAGACAGAAAATTCAAATCTACTATTTTTTCATGCAACTTACAAGATGGTGTTACAATTTCTGTCGCTATGGTAACAGTTGTGGACTCTGTCTCAGTCTTTGACATGTTGGCATCTTGGGTGTCTGCCCAAACATTACAACAGTGTCTTTTGGAATATCTGGTTCTCATAATTGTTGGTCTTCTAGAAGCATCAATACTTAGTTTTGAATATGTCAAGGATGGCGTTTTCTTCCATTTCTGTCACATCTTTTTCCAGCACAACAATCAAACTTCCTCCTTGCAACTGTTGCTTGTCACCAGCTAAAATATTGAATAAAAACTTGAGTTAGTGTTTCTGAGAAATAGCCATCAATACCAACTAGATCGAAGTATCAAACTGTTTGAATTATTTATCAAACTACAGATCTTTTCTGTAAAACATAAGACAGTCATTCTAACATAACAATTATGTATTGTAGCTATCAAATACTATATAGATGAGATCTGTAGTTATATTCATGAATATGATTTCTGCCATCACAAATGGATCTCAACAGCATAATAGAACTCAAATTAAATTTGACAACTGTTCCATTCTAAATAACATCATCAAGTAGGGTTTGTTTTACTGTTAACATGATTATTATATTTTTGTGAAAAGTTTGTGTTTTGAGTCTACTTGTTTGAATTTTCTTTATACTGTGAAATCAGATATTTTTGCAAGGCTAAAATTTTGTGAATAATATGATTAACATTTAGGGTTCACCATGTTAAATGTTTGTGAAAATCAAAGTGGAGGACAATAGTTATTGCAATTAGGTAATACTTACATGATGATAATTTTATTGAATTTGCAAATGTAGTAAAAATTAAACACAGAAAGGTAGAATCACATTTCTTTTTTTAAAAAATCAATTCAAATGTAAATAAAGCTATGATATTGTGAAATGTCAATTTTTTCTATTCATATATTAAACGGTTTTACTTGGCATCTGGATCACCAGACTTTCACAAAGTGTTTTACGCCAACAACTGTGGCTGTACAGTAGTCACACCTGTACAGATTTTCTTATGACAAGGCTTTATATTCTAAATAATTCTGAGATTCCTCTTTTGAGCACACAACCTAACACTGTGTTGTAATTGTGCTGTAGTGTGTAAAAATACTTACCTTTCTTCAGAAGGTCTTCAAGACTGCTTGCAAGGACAGATATTCTCTTCTGCCTTGTAGTGTAACACCTCCAAAATTTTGTACTGATTAGCCATACTAGTTGTTAAATATGTAATTATGAGAAGAAACTTGTAGCGTAACATGTAGATCTGACAGTACCCAAAATTACATTTTATTGAAGTACCTGTATTTATCCATAATAACTGTTTCTTCCATTACAGATATGCAAGACAGGGGCAAAACAAACTTGAGATCTTGATATTTTTTAGCAACTGTCTTTGTATTTAAGCGTTTTACAAAGAGTCAATATGTTCATCACACTCTATAACCACAACTTGCACAAGAAGAGTAAAAACAAAAAAATTCTGGTAGAAATCTAGTCAATGACTAAAATCTTAACAACAACCCAGTATTTTTCCTTATATAACTCAGATACCGGAAAACGGCACCGTTCCCAATAGAAAATAGACAGCAAATTTTCCAATTCATGACTGATAAATTCCAAATTTAACACTGAAAATTACCTCTAAAAACAGTAATGCATGCCTCGGAGCCTTCCGTATTGATAAGTGATATACGATAAAAACCAAGTAAAACCAACATGAGTGATATTCGTACCCAGTTCATTTCGTACTTTATGTTTTTAAGGTTTTAAACATATTTATTTTAGCTCGATTGCGAAACAAGTTCTTGCAACTTATATCAATCACTTTCGAGTCCGCTTCCTGGAACCAACCAGTACTGGTGTCATATGAAGAAACATGGTCGTGACCCGTGTAGGGCTCGAACCCATGATCTCTGGTTTGAGAGGCAGACACCCTTAAACCACTAGGCCACCGCTCCCCTTTATGTTTCACACCTACTAAACATTATTTATGTACAATTGTTATGATTATCAATTTTTTTTTCAACCTCAAGCAGCAAAAATAAGCTTTAAAGTTAATAATACATGATTTTAAAGTGTATAATTATGCAAAATTTTCATCACCATCCCTGGATAAAAGAAATTCCCAATAAAATATTTTGCATCTAAAATAAAATTCCCAATTTAAGTCAAAACCGATGGATTTTTTTCCCAATCTGTCCGGTACCGTTAATTGTACCAGCACCATTCTCAAAGTAGGGGAAAAACACTTTGACTTTCTGATATTAATTGAATGTTTTATATTTGAATATTATATATAATATAAGCGTTTCTTTACTTGACAACGTGTTTCTTGCTTATCCAAATCAAAACACGTTGAATGTAACATGATATGGTTTCTGTTTTCTAGCTATGTTGTTTAAAAGTTTTATTCAGTATGTTTTTCTTTGCTGTCCTAAATAAAGTTTAAGTGTAGTTAAAAATTATTTTTAAAGTATTCCCTATATAAAATTAATGTTAACTTAGCCTCAATAATCAAATCGAAATTAATGGAATTAAGAATCAAATCCAGAGAAAGCTGAATAGTTGCACCCTTACAAAGAAACATTTATTATAATGTGTGATAATAATATAGAACTATATATGTTTATTTGTCTTTTCATTCTAAAGTTTATAAAATATTGAAAATAAAAGAAATTTAGGGGGGTGGGGGTTTATAGGAAATTTCAATCAAAAGGTTTATATACAGTTACTGTAAATGACAATTATTAATACCTGCCCCACTAACAAACTGAAAGTTCTATGCTCCTGCGTTTATGAATAAATTATGCAAATGAGCCAGGTTGAGCCGCCATGTTGGAGTTTTGTTAAGCGTGTTGGAAATTGCTATCTGTTCGTTTTGAAAGCTCGTCCTAACTTACAATTTCATTGAATGTAGGAAAAACTTGGTTTTGTGTGATTGCATATTGAATGATAGGTATTACAAAAATAAATATAATGAAAATCGGATCAATAAATAATTGTATACGAGCGTTATAAAGTCAATTTAATTCGTCAGAATAATAAGGTTCAGTTGCAGGTAAGGCCCCCACGATTACACGTTTAAATGGATTCGTTTCGATTTTCATTCATAAACGTTTACGATATTGTTTACCGTTTTAATCGAAATGACCATATTGTCTTACAAAATTTCTTAATCATTGCCTGTAATCATGGATTTTATCAATTCTAGTGGTTTATTCCAAAGTAAACAAACGGAAAATGGTGTTTACAACCCTCCACACAGCATTACCGTGCAAAATTGCTCATGATTGACATAATACATTTTTGGTAAAAAATGGGGTTACAATGCAAAAAATGTGTGCTGACTCAATCGTGATGAGCCCTGAAAATTCTTTATTTGTACATGCATTAAAAATAGAAAGAAAGACATCATTTGGCGACTCAAATACATGGTGTGTATAGTACATAGAGGTACCACCGTTTAAACGGTATCGTTTCGGTTCTTAGCAATCGTGTAAACGTTTACAAAAAATTGTAAACGTGGGAGCCTTAGTTGCAGGGTATCGGTAAAAGACTGCTTTTTTCCCCGTTTTTGAAATTTATTTGAACACGGAGACAATTTTTCACAAACAGTAGGTTTATGAATATACTTTACGTTGCAACAGAGTTTACCGTGTGTCCATTCCTTATTTAAATTGTCTGAGAAGTTAAATCTGTTTGTTTACATGTAAATGTGTACCGTCATTTTGACCGACTGGAATAAAAAACTACCATGACGGTAATAATACCCGATATGTAATGAAAATTACGCCGTGTAGTGCAAAGTTTTGGACATTGCTATTATTATTAACACTTACGTTGACTCAAACTGTTCCTTGTCAGCAAAATTGAAACCGAAAGTAGAGGTTGTTCTAGAATTTAATCGAATAAAATGGGTGGGATTTAACAATCGCGCATGCCCTGTGCGAACGTATTGTTTACATCCGGTCGTAGCATAGGGTAAGAGTGCAGACTTTGTCAGTGTGCCCATCGTGCTTCCATTACAGGGATATAAAATAACAGGGATCCAGTCGCAATGGTCCTAACTTTTGGGTAGGGCCCCAGCTTTCTAGAAGAAATGCCTAAATAACTATAAATGTAAAATAGTCTGGGCCCCTAGATAAAAATTGTTAATTTATATACCTGCATTATCAGACAGGTATAAACCAGTGATTTTTTTTCCAATTTTCAAAACAACCTATGGCTTTCTGAAGGGGAAAATATAGCGCGATAATCAGAAAAGGGGGAAAATCAAATTCTAACAACTGAGAATGGAATTTACACACACATTTAATAAAATTTTCAATTTCAATTCAATTTAACATGCATAGTACATAGCCGAGGCAATAGGGACAGCTTTCTGTCTTCTAACTGATATAATAAGTCAGATGCTGTTGAGTCATGTTTCTGGTGAAGAAGTGCACAGGGCATTTTAGGAGTAAATATTAGCTCTTTTAGGGGAAAATATACCTATTTTGAGCTAGGGGAAACAGCCTTTATTCGGCTGTAAAATACAGGGAAAAAAATCACTGTAAACATATAGTCAATCCCATAGCTGATCATTGGACATCATGCGCCATTTCCTACATCACTAAATGTAAATAAGATTTTACTTCAATTTGTTGTTAGAAAGTGTGTGTGGACAGAAACTACTCCTGCCCTGGTGGACCAGTTGAAAGACAAATTTAAATTATTTTAATCCTTAACAAGGAAACAAACGATACAACTTAAAACTACCCGAAAGTGATTTGAATACAAATCCGTGAAAAAGAACACCAACAGTTTTAGTAATTTTTGCACAAACAGAAATAACTGACCAATCTAATCACGTAACGTAAACAGCATTCCCACCCACCTGTTTCAATTCGTCTATCGAAGCGAAAATGGACTATATAGTACATAAAACCTAACCATTCACCTGTAAAAACGTTAAAAATATTAACAAATCTGTTTAAGCAACTATTGTACATATCTGTTATGGAAGAAACAACAAAAATGAGGCAAACAATTTCTGGCGGTTTTTGTCGTCTGATCTACAATGTGCTACATCGCCAGACGCTTTACGGAGATATCAATCGAAGCGTACTCTTTACACGCAAGCATCTGGCTGCTATGATTCGAATTTATTTATTATAAAATATTTTATGTAATTGAATTCATCATAATTTGTTTCTGGATCTAGATATTTTAATATGGGGATTGTACAAAAATAATTCTAATTATAAAAAAAAAAATAATCAATTCATGTTTTTTTGTGCTAAGGGGAAGTAACCGCTGTCAGATTAAACCTTAGTGTTTTCGGGCGAAACACGTGTTTTCGGCCGAAACACGTGTTTTCAGATTTCCGGATGACAAGTATATACGAATTTTCCGACACAAATGATGTTTTTGTCTCATTATTTTTTTACATGTGGCCTATTCACAACACTTGCGTGACTTCAACTCATTCAATAATGTAAAATTATTTAATTATATATTCTAGGTTGTCCTGTGAAAACACCACCGTTTTCTGGGCATCGAGCGGAAAACATGAATAAAACATATGTGTTTTCACTGAAACGTATACAAAACATAAGCATTTTATATGAAAACGTCAGTGGTTTTTTGTTTTTGAAAACACTGGTAAAAACACGTGTAGTGTTCCAAAATTTACAGTGTACATGTGTATTGTAAATTATGTTTTAGATAAATGTTGAATAATTCAGGTACATGTTTTGTTTAGCTAACATTCTGAACATCCAATGCATTTTGAATAATTTGTTTGTTTCAAGCAAAAAAAAAAAAAGAACAACAACAACAAGTAAGTATAATTAAGAGAGCGATCGAGTAACAATTACCAAAACTACAGATGAAAAATACTATGCCCGGTCTATGGAGAAATTGTAGTATATACATAAATTTTAAGTGTCACTTGTTGAAATTTGACATTACACACGGAATAAAACTATATTACAAATGTACAAATGTACCGAAGAGCTACCTTATTTGGCAAGCAACAATGTAGTGATAATAAACATAAAGAACACGAATATACAGGCTGTTTCATTCACAAGAACTACATTTTTGTCACATCGATATGTACACTTAAATCACTTTAAGTATATGGTAGGGTTATTGTCATGCTTGCACTAACACATAACAGTCTACAACATATAAGACCACTTCTATTAATTTTGAAATTATCGTTCTGTATTTTCAGACAGTATAGTAATACATTTTTATTTACAATAGGTGAACTTTGACATTGACAATTAGAGAGAAAAAAAAAACAGTGTGTCGCAACACAAGCAAATATA